TCTGTCAGAATGCAGACGCAGGACAGGAAGGTCCTGGCGGAACCTACGGCTGAGCCAGAGACAGATTGCTCGGATCCAAGGGATCAGGTTAGCAAGGACCTCACCCTTGGTGCGCAAAGGGAAGACCGTGGTGTACCGCGAGTAGTCGTCGACAACCAGCAGAAAGTACCGCTCACCGCCCTGTCCACGAACGCGGGCTGGGCCCCACACGTCCAGGTGGAGGGTCTGCAGAGGAGCCTCTGTCGGGGGAAACGAGGAGGAGTGAGGAGCAGCGCGCTGCCGCCCCTCGACGCAAGGAAGGTAGGGCGGCACAGGCGAGGCAGGGAGGGGAGGGAGAAACCTGGGAAGACCAGACACAAGGAGGCGACCTTGTATGCCACGTAGACGTGGCAGGGAAGGGTGGCCCAGGCGGTGGTGCCAGAGAAGAGTCTGGTGCGACAGGGAGCGACACTCACAAGGGGAGGCTACTTGACCTGACGCAGAAACCTGACCAGTAGCAGCTACCTGAGGAGGCGCATTTGTCAGTGTGTAAAGACTCGACCCTGGCTGACGGGTAAACGTGGCCAGGTGGCGGCTAGTCCGAGAGCACGTACAGATCGCCACACGCTGTCCTTCAGGGGTAAAGGCGTCAACCCACTGGTCCTGGAGAACTACGTTGCTCACCAAGTTTGTAGAGAACGAGGGGAGGTGGAAGCCTATTAGTGAGCCAGACGAAACCGCTTGGCACGAAAGCACAGTGGTGAACCGTGCAAGAACTGGGCCCCCTGAGGGGTCTGTCAACGGGAGTTGTGTGTTGGCCCCGTCCTCACTTGGGCGGAGCCGACTTTGTGGTCGGGTGCGAGGGGAGCAGCCGACTTGCAGCAGTGGGCGAGCTGGTTGACGAGGAGGTCGACCTGCACGGGAGCCACTGCACGAGCGCCGACTTCAGGGTGGGGCCGACTTAGGGAGGCCGACCTGGTAAGTCGACCTGCGGAGGGCGTCGACTTGGTGACACCAACTTGGGGCAGCCGACTTGGGTGGTCGGCTGAATGGCCTGCTGGTCGACCCGAAGGTTGGTCGACCAGGCGCGATGTTGACCTGGTGGTCGACCTGACCTGGTGGTCGACGGATGAGGGGCCGACGTCGACCTCGACCCAGGACGCCGAGCAGCTGGCGTCGAGTAGCAGGGCGTCAACTTGGTGACGCCGACTTCGGGTAGCCGACTTGGGTGGTCGGCTGACAACTGCGCTGGTCGACGTGCAGCTGGTTGACCAGGAGTGACGTCGACCTGGAGCTGGTCGACCAGGTGTGTGGTCGACCTGGTGGGGTCGACTTGGGGTGGTCGTCGACTTGGGAGGTCGACGGGCACATACACGAGCGGCTGGTCGACGTGGTTGCCAGGTCGACCAGGTTACCTGGGTGACGAAGTTCTGCGGAGGAGTGCGACAGTTGCCCACGCGAAGTTGGCGAGCCCGACCTCGGTGGTGGTATCCCGAGGTCGACGTGGCTGATCAGATGCAATCGTCAACGCCAGGTTGACTTGGTATGTGCGTTGTGCAGGTGACAAGGCCTGGCACGCCAATCATCTACGAGCACCTGCGAAGATGGTTCGCCGCTGTTCTGCGTGAGCAGCGCTGGCACGCCATCAACCTGCGGTGTTGGCACGCCGTCGACTTTGCACTGCTGGAGTGCGGCTGACCAAGTCATGCTGGAATGCGGTCGACCATGCTGCGCTGGCAGTCGACCGACCTGAATGCTAGCTCTGATGTAGTCTTGCCAGGCCAACTTCTTTGTACCATTGTTGTCAACTTTCTCTAATGAAACTCTTGCCAAATTGCCTTGGAAACTAGCAAGCAGTGTGTGCATTAGGAAAACGACTAAGAACCAATGAACGCAGAGACCACATGAGCATCCGGCCTAGCCCGTAGTCTAGCTCCCGCTGTAGTAGTTATCTCCACAGGGTTAGCCAGAGAGACTGCAATAGGTGCAGGGAGTGGTGTGAGTGCAGTAGTGTCACGGAAGAAGCAGCGGAAAGCACATGAGTCAAGCGTGAAGGTGTGCAAGGCCTCAGCTGGCGCAGTACCTGAGGAAGCAGACTCGCTAGCACCTAAGGCAGCAGCCTCACTTGCACCTAGAGCAGCAACCTCTATACCGGGATCGTACTGTACACGCAGGTGACAGTCACTCTCAGCACCACCAGGCAAAGCAGACATGGCAGTAAGGATGGCGTCATAGTCTAAAGCAAAGACAGCAGCATCTGACCTAAGCATCTCAAGCCAGGGAGGGATCTCATCCTCGTCGCCAAACTCTGTGCGCTAGGCGTCAGTCAAATAGGCAAAGTAGCGGGACTGTGCGTGACCAGGTGTCCCACAGGTCTCACCAGCTCGACGACCTGTGCGAATGACGTACTAGCAGCAACCCGGACTCGGAGACGGCCCACGCTGATAAAGCCACTCACGAAGCTGCCAGGGCGTAAGGGTCAGATGCCCCCGTAGCTGCATCTGGCCACCGCCAGACACTCCGCACCAAACAGCGCCTCAGTGACTGCTACTACGCCCGCCACCACTCGTACTGCTGCCACCCCGCCGTCACCACTCCCACCGGTACGACAAAGGGAAGTCATGGTGGGCAAGCTAGGAGGAGCTCGACCTCTAGGGCAGTACGGAGTGAAGGCAGTAGCACGAGTAGCGGCAGCAGTAGTAAGAGCAGCAGGGCGGCGCGCGGCCACAGCAGGGCAGTAGCAGGCAACAGCAGATAGTAGCTCCTAGGGCAAAAGCACCTAGGGCCCTTTTTATATTATTTTAATTTTAATTAGGGTTTAGCAGGGCGCTGGCGCAGGGCAGAGCGCTGGCGCAGGGCAGGGCGCGGGCGCAGGGCAGGGCGCCAGCGCGCATGGCAGGGCGCTGGCGCAGGGCAGGGTGCTGGCGCAGGCTGCAGAAGTGCGTGACGCGAAGGGCAGCAGAGCGCGACGCGACTGGATGCCTTAGGGCTTGACGCGCGGGCTGCAGCAGAGCGCGACGCGCGAGGCAGCAGCGCGCGACTCGTGGGTTGCCTTAGGGCGCGACGCGCGGGCTGCAGCAGAGCGCGACGCGCGGGGCAGCAGCGCGCGACACGCGGGCTGCCGTAGGGCGCGACGCGCAGGGCTGCAGCGCGGGCGTAGGGCAGGGCGCAGGCGCAGGGGAGGGCGCTGGCGCAGGGCAGGGCGCTGGCGCAGGGCAGGGCGCTGGTGCAGGGCAGGGCGCTGGCGCAGGGCAGGGCGCTAGCGCAGGGCAGGGCGCTCGCGCAGGCTGCAACAGTGCGTGACGCAAAGGGCAGCAGAGCGCGACGAGTGGCTGCCTTAGGGCGCGACGCGCGGGCTGTAGGAGAGCGCGACGCGCGAGGCAGCAGGGCGTGACGCGCGGGCTGTAGCAGAGCGCGACGCGCGAGGCAGCAGCGCACGACTCGTGGGCTGCCTTAGGGCGCGACGCGCAGGCTGCAGCAGAGCGCGACGCGCGGGGCAGCAGCGCGCGACGCGCGGGCTGCCGTAGGGCGCGACGCGCAGGGCTGCAGCGCGGGCGTAGGGCAGGGCGCAGGCGCAAGGGAGGACGCAGGCGCAGGGCAGGGCGCAGGCGCAGGGCAGGGCGCCGGTGCAGGGCAGGGCGCTGGCGCAGGGCAGGGCGCCGGCGCAGGGCAGGGCGCCGGCGCAGGGCAGGGCGCTGGCGCAAGGCAGGGTGCTGGCGCAAGGCAGGGCGCTGGCGCAGGGTGACGCCAGGCAGGGCAGGGCAGGGCGTGCGCGAGGCAGCGCGACGCGGGGCAAGGTAGGGCGTGCGCGGGGCAGCGCGACGCAGGGTAGTGGGGTAACGTGGTAACCGCAGTTGGAAGCGAAGTATGGTGGGCATGAAAGAAAAAACGGTCTTACAGACCTACTGCTCTGAAACCATGTCAAGATAGCAAGCAAGAATGGTTGCATTGAATGAAATGTGGGTACAAGTACTAACCCTAACTTCGGGTTGTACCCCATATGGGCTACCCCACTATAGCCTACACAGAACTAACACAGTTTGACAGTTTGTGACTTCAAGCGGCATTTTGGACAACTTGATTCAGTTGGTAATAGACCACCCGTCACAGTTCACTGGCATCATTGACGTTGCTGGGGACCTGTTTTGTGGCAAGTTCAAGTTGTTGTAGATTCTCAGACAGGCTGCACTAGCAGACTGGTTAGGAATGTAACATGTTACATGGCACAATCCCTCAAAAAGTGTGCACCCACCCATTGCTTGAAAGACCGAATGGGGACGGGAGGGATGCGGGTTCGGGTCGTGGCTCATGTGGGAGGGATGATGTAGGAGGGGAATGTGGAGGAGGAGCAGGTTACCTGATTGCAAGAGCGAGAGATGCAACACAGGTTGATGGTGCCATTCTGTGGTTTGTGGGAAGAAGGGCTTGTGTTGTGAGTGTTCTTGCTTGTAGTGTATGAAGCACGGTGGTTCAGTGTGCAAGCCAAATCAAGTAGGCAGGAAATGGATCAGTCAATGATCCAGGGAAGTACTGTACCTCGTACCGGTGACAATTAGCTGTACATTGTGTACACGTCATTAAACAAGCCATGCAATGCTACCTACGCTTTAAGAGATTATGTCACTGCAATGAATGGATGGCGTATGAGGGCTCCAGCCAGCCACCTGATGGTGACTTTGATCTACCGTATGATGATGGAATCAAAGGTCCCTGGGGACTTCAGCAGATGGGGCTTCTGAAGGGGGACATCCCGAATCCTTATTTTCTGGTAGAAGCAGGAATGGTGGTGCCGTAGCAAGCTGTACATTGTGTGACTCTGACGGTCAGAAAATGGTGGTGCTGGTCTGTCTGACCTATGACACTGCAAGGAGTGCACGGCTCACGAGGGCTGCTGACGGCCTCTTTCAAGGGTATTGAGTCTTGACTTGAACCGGATTCTTGTGTTCTGGTTGAAACAGGAGTGATGGTGCCGTGCCGTAGTGAGCCTGAGCTGTGGATAGTGTGTGACTCTGATCGCTGATCTATGATACTGCTAAGAAAGGATGGCTTATGAGGGCTCCAGCTGATGGCCTCTTTGACGGGTCGCGGTTCAAGCAGGATGCGACAAAGTCTGTGAACTCAGGTGAAGAATCAGGTGGTAGCTCAGGTAGGTCTCGACTGTGAGCAATGAAGAGCTTCACCTGACATAACAGATAAGGAGAAGTAGGGTGAAAAGCAAAGATTGGAAAAAATAAAATAAAAAATATGGGGATGGGAGAATAAGGCAAGCCTAATGGTAGTTATATCCTATTCCCAGCCCTCGATATCACACCTTCACCTTTATTCCAAGCTCTCTTAACAGTATCCTGCTACAGGGTTCAAAGAGGGCTTTCAGAGAGGTTCAGAGTGGTTCAAGCTCACCTGCTCGCTGTTTGTGATGCCAGCCCACGGCTCTGCTCCTGTTGCCATGGCAACAGCCAGACACCCCAAGGCCCACACGTCAGATGGAGGCCCCACTTCTTCCTGTGCAGAAAAGGACGCCAAAATGGAACAAAAGAGTAGCAGATTTGAGTGTTGAGAGGTCTCGAAGCAGTAGGACGAGCACCAAACAGCCAAGTTGTTGCTGGAAAGTTACTTTCCGTCTTGAAAAGGACTTCAGAAAAAAACAAAAAGGAGTACCGCAGAATTGCGCTTTGCGAGGTTTCAAAGCAGTAGGGCGCCGCCAGACCACAGAGACATTACTGGCCAGTTTTTCCTCTAGAGGCACTCTTTTTTTTTTTTAAGGTCGTTAAAAATAATTCCTTCGGAAGTCGTTTTTGAGAAATTCAAAGAGGTCTCGAAGCAGTACGACAAACAGTTTCTCTCTTGAAGCACATCAGATGCCGGCCCTTCTCTCTTCTCACCTCTCTGATGGCTTCAGGAGACAGGCGGGACACTCGGCTGTCCCTACAACCATGGCTGCTGCTGCTGCTACTGCTTTTCGAGGTCCCAGACCCATCGGACTCCAGCCAAGCAATGCCGGCCAGTCGCACAACCCCATCGTCCGGGACAAAGACCGTGGAGGGGCGGATGTTTCCATGGGTGATGCCGTGGGAATGCAGCGAGTGAAGGGCCTCTAGCACCTGTTGAGGGTTGGGTGGGGACAGTAAAGAGAGCAGACGGAGAAGGAAGGTATGAGGGGCAGATGTTGCCTCAGGTGAGTGAGGCAGAAGAAGGCGCGGGTATCCAAGTATGCTCGGGCGATGGGCCCGCACTCCAGCGACGGCACTACACCACCATTACCACAGCACTCCACACTGCACCGCACTCCAGCTCATTGCACCGCACTGAACTCACTGCTTCTCACCTGTCGGAGGCAGAAAGCAAGTGTGTCCTCCGGCATGGGGCCACACTTCTGCAGCTGCTGGGAGAGCGGCGGCGACGGCACAAACTCAAAGGCCGCAAACACCACCACTGACTCGCCCGCCCGCCCAGACTCCTCGTTAGGGGAAGCACCAGCAGCAGCACCAGCAGCAGCACCAGCAGCAGCACCAGTAGCAGCAGCAGCGGCAGGGTTGGCGCGGATGGCTCCGATACAAGGCACCACGTTCTCATGGCTGTGCTTCAGCAGCAGAGCCACCTTCCTCTGAAGCTCGCGCACCCTCCCGCCCTCCACACTCGCTCGTGTCTTTGCCTCACCCCCATTCACATTCCCATTCCCACTCCCACTCCCCACACAACCATTCTTCTTCCCCGCTTGCACCCCAACCTCCTCCCGAACCTCTTCCCGAACCTCCAGCCGCTGCACGACGAACCTCTGCCCTGAGCCTCGGTCCTCAATCAGGCTCAGCCTCGTGCCGAGCCTCGACACGAGCCTCCACTTCTCAGGTAGGTTCGGGATAACACCCGCTTCAGGCATCTCCCCCTCTCCCTCCTCCACTTCCTCCTTCTGTCCCGCTGTTCCCTCCTCTCCCTCCTTTCCCTCATTTCCCTCATCTCCCTCATCTCTCTCCTCTTCCCTACCTCCCTCCTCTCCCTCGTCTCTTCGTAAACACCGAAGTCGCATCGTTGCCTCTAACTTGGAAGCTTCCTTCCCTCCTGATGTGCCCACTGCCAGCCTTTGTCTCGGCTCATAGGGAACCATGGCTCCTGCCTGTGCCGCCACCGCTGCCGCTGCCGCCGCCGTCGCTTCTGCTGCTGCTACGTCTGCTGCTGCTGCTGCCCCTGCTCCTCCTCCTGCTGCTTCTCGTGTTGCCCCTGCCTCTGCCTTTGTTCGCGCTGCTGCTGCTGCTGTAGTTGCTGCTTCTCGTCCTCTGAGGTTCCCACCCTCCACCGCTATTCGCCGACGAGTCACATCCTCTGATGGAATTCTTGTATGCGGCTCGGGCTTCCGAGGCTCGGGCTTTCTAGGCTTGGGCCTTCGAGGCTCGGGGATGCTAAAGTTGGGGTTCCTAGGTCCACCGCAGCTAGGCTCGGCATTGCTAGGGTTGGCATTGCTAGGTTTGGCAGATGAGCCGGGAGACCAAGGTTCGGAAGAATGGAAGCTCGGATGGCTGAGGCTCGGCGGGAGTGTGGATTCAAAGTGAGCAAAGGAATGGAACATGGCCAGGTCTTCAGGAGAAAGATCAGGTGTGCTTTCCCGTAGGTCGGGTGCGTTTCTGCGCAGGTCAGGTATGTTTCTGTGCAGATCAGGTGTGTTTTCAGGTGGTACAGGTGGGCGAGCTGGTGGGAGGGGATTCACTGCGGAGGGGCACGGAGGGGAGAGGCAAAAAGAGAGGGAAAAAGAGAGGAGAGTTGAGAGGGCTAACTGGACAAGCTTTGGTCGAGGTGAGTGGAAAGGGGTTCAGAGCGGTGTGTGGTGCTGGTGCTCATGGCGCTGGTGGTGGTGGCAGTGCCAATGGCGATGGGAACGGAACACAAAAACGAGTATTACCATGTGGGGAGGGCAATAACGATCATTGCCAGGTAAAAGAGGGCAAATACCGTGTACAGGAGGTCGCGTCTTGGGTGGATTGTTGAGATCCATACTAGCAGCACGCCCATGCCCCCCCTGCCCTAATTCTCCCCCATGCCTTGACTCTCCCCCACGCCCTGAGTGTCCCCTATCCCCTCCTGACTGCCACGTGTCTCCATCCCCATCTGTACTAATGCGACGCTGCACAGCAAATTGCCTCCCAAGTCCTCCTTCTCTCCCTCCCTCACTTCCTTCTTGCCTGCCCCTCTTCCTCCGCCCTCCCAGTTCCCGCCTCACAGCCTCGGCAGCAGCCCTGGCAGCAGCTTCGGCAGCGGCTTGAGCAGCAGCTTCGATGTCAAAGCTCTCAGTTACGCTCCGTGACTCCGAACCTCCCCCCAGACTCGGATTCCGTCCGAGCCTGCCGCCGGACCTGGAGTCGCTGGTCTGGTGCCGAGCCTGCTGCTGCTGTTGCTGGTGTTGCCATTCTTGCTCCTTAATGCCACCCTCCCTCCTCCCCATCATGCTTGCATAAACCGCCTCTGAAGCAGCCGCTGCCGCCGCCGCTGCTGCTGCAGCTGCCACGGTTTGAATCTCTTGCAACGACCCATGCTTCTGTTGCTGCTCCAGCTGCTGCTGCTGCGGCTCGTTCTCCTCTGTTTCATGGAGGTGTGAGAGGGGCGCGTGCGAGAGAGGAGCGTGCGACAGAGGAGCGTGCGACAGAGGAGCGTGCGAGAGAGGGCGATAAGGAACAGTGGAGAGGGCGAGAGAATCTTGGCCTGGCACCAACAAAGCAATCGCTTTTCCTCCTTCAACCCCTCCTGCCCCTCCTGCCCCTCCTGCCCCTCCTGCTCCTCCTGCCCCTCCTGCCCCTCCTGCTCCTCCTGCCCCTCCTGCCCCTCCTGCTCCTCCCGCTGCTCCCACACCAAAGGGGCTGACAGCTCGAACTTGAGCCCCCCGAGCCAAGGCCTCCCGAACATGCGCCTCAGCCTGGGCCCGAGCCTGCGCTTGCAATTGCGCCTGAGCCTGAGCCTGTGCTAGGAATGCTGCTTGTGAAGCCATAAATGCCTGAGCCTGGACCTGCATCCGAGCCTGCGCCACAGCTTCGGCCCGAGCCTGCGCCTCCATCCGTGCCCGAGCCTCCAGTTGCGCCCGAGCCTGCGCTTCAAACTGCGTCCGAGCCTGTGCTTGCACCTGCGCCATTTGTTGCAACACACTCGTCTCACGCAAAAGCCGCCACACCTCCTGCTCCTTCCTCTGCAAATCCTCCCTCCTTTCCCTCCTCTCCTCTCTCTCCTCATCCTCCCTCTCCCTCTCCTCCTCTTCATCCTCATCCGTTTCCCCTCCCCGCCTCCTCACCTCCCCACTTCCTTCCGAACCTGAGCCATCCGAACCTGAGCCGTCTGAGCTCAGGCGCTCCCGAGCCTGGTCATACCCTCTCCTCACACCTCTCCTGTCCTCTTTCGGTTCCCTGTCCCTATCCGTCTCCTCATCTTCCTCCTCCTCTGCCCCTCCGCCCCTATTCCCCACTACCTCCCTTTCTTCATCCTCTCTAAGTGTTTCTAGATTGCTTCGGCCTAACAGCCTCTGCTGCTGCTGGTGGCGTTTTGGAGCGTTCCTCTCTCCTCTTCCTGCTCCCCCCCACGCCCCACCAGCCGCACTAACAGCAGCACTGGCAGCAGCAGCAGCAGCAGCACCACCACCACCAACAGCAGCAGCAGCAGCAGCAGCAGCAGCAGCAGAAACAGGTTTACCATTCCCCACTGTCCCTGGAGCAGATACAGGCACAGGATTGGGCGCAGCCCCTGGCACAGCCCCAGGCACAGGTATTGAGTTACTCTGCTGAGACTCAGCGCACATGCCCATGAATGCTCGCATGCGCACTGCTGCCGCTGCTGCTGCATGGGGACTTGTGCCGTGTGGAAGAAAGAGAGGGATTGATAGTGCCCCTGCCCCTCCTGCTGCTGCTACAGCTGCCGGGGAGAGCAGCGGCGACGACGGTGGTGCTGCTGCTGCTCCTGCGGGGGGTGTAAAGGCTCCCATTGCCACCGCTGCTGCTGCTGCTGCTGCTGCTGCTGCTCCCCGGGGGGGAGTAAGAACTCTCATTGCTGCTGCTAGTGCTGCTGAAGGGGGGGTAAGACCTCTCATTGCCGCTGCTACTGCAAGCGGAGTCGTCTCTCTCATCGTTGCCGCGGCTGCATCTTGCTGCCTGCTCCCCCCTCCACTTCCCTTCTCCACCTCCTCCCCTTCCTCCTCACTCTCCTCCTCACTCTCCCACTCCTCCCCTCCCTCCTCTCCCTCCCCCCCCTCCTCCTCCCCCACTTCCTCCTCGCCCCGTGTCACACACTCCCTCCCCCCCTCTCTCTCCCCTCGCCGCCCATCCGCTCCCCCACGCGCTTGACAATTCAAAGAAGGGCGAGAATCGTCAAGCGAAGTCTCAAAAACCGGCGTATCGGACATATTAGCAGTATGATTCAGGGAGAAGCATCGTTTTTCAGACTCGGACTTTTGAACGGCCGCCGCATGACTGTCGGAAAGATGTTTGCTATGGGGATGGGGGGCCGGGGGAGGAGGCGGAAGGGGGGACGATGAGCGGGCCTCGGGGGGAAGCATAAGCGGAGATTGGGTGGCGGGAAGAGCGCTGGAATAATTGAGAGGAAGAGGAGGAGGATAAGAAGGGCGCTCGTCCCTCCATGCCCCCCTCGTCTCCCCTCTCTCACGCTCCTCCTCCTGCCCCCATCTTTCCCTTCCCCGCTCTCCTCGCTTCCCCCCCCATGCCTCTTCCCCCCATGCCTCTCTCCCCCATTGCCCCACACCGGGGCCCTGGAACCCCCTTTCCCCCTGCGCCTCCCGCCGTCCTTCCCCCCCCTGCTCCCCCTGCCCTTGCCTTCCACCTCCCTCCTGCTCTTCCGCCCCTCTCCTCTCTCTCATTACATCCTCGCGGAAATTTCCCCCATGCGTCCAACCTTCCGCTCTCCGTTCCCCCCCTCCCCCTGGTCTCTTCCCCCGAATCCGCGCCTCGATTTGCTGCCCAAGCCGTTTCTGCAGGCTCTCTGTGGGAACAATAACCCTTTTTGCCCCAGCTGCCCGTTCCAAATGTTTCGACACTGCCCGCCCATCCCTCCCACCCATCTCAACCGCACAATTTCTTCCTTCAATGCCGTCACGGGCAGCCCACTCCCGACGGAAAATCTGGTCACGCTCTTCCACCCTTGCGCGTTTTTCCGGGGTAAATTGCCCCAGATTTTCCAGGGCTTCCCAGGGTTGTGCCCGCTTTGCACCGGGGTAATTAGCTTGTGGAGCCACTTCTGCGAAGGCGTGCGCTGACTGAAGAACGTTTCTCGCTGGCAGCCTCGGTAACAACGGTAACTGCGGCTGCAGCTGTTGTGGCTGATGCTCCTGCTGCTGTTGCTGCCCCAATCCGCGTCGCCACTCCAACATTCTGACGCCTCCGTCTCCGCTTCCGTCTCCGTCTCCGCCTCCGCCTCCGTCTCCTGCGTCTCCGTCCCCCGAACCTTGCACCGCTTGTTCTCCGGCGTCTGGTCGCACGAGCGAACGATCGTCGCCACGTCGTCTCACGGCATGTCGCACGCTGGCGATCCTCCCTTCTCCTGCCGGAACCGTCCCGGCGGCTGCGACTTCCGCGAAGTCGGCGGCGGCATCGGCCGAACGGTCGTTTTCGCCACTAAAGCCGCGGCCAGTTTCGCCAGTGCGCCAGTCGCGGTCACTGCGGGTGTCACTTCCGCCGCTGCGCCAATCACTGTTGCGGTTACTGAAGCTGTCGCTTCTGCCACTGCGGGAAGAAAGCGGCGGCCCCATTTCCTCCCGCGGATTCCGCGCAGGAGGCGAGGGGGATCCGCGCGCCGGCGGCTGAGGCGGCTTTTGAGTCGACTCAAAAGCTGGAGGTGAGGGGGATCCGCGCGGCGGCTGAGGCGGCGGCGGGGCTTTCCGCGACGCGGCGTTGTCTCGAAATATAGCCGTTTCCGCACCGAGAATTTCGCGGGGCGGCGGCGTTGGCCGCGGGCTTTTTGAAAAAGCGTCCGCGTAAGGGGAGCTCCGCCCCAGGGGGGGTAGCGGGGGCGCGGGGCTGGGGAATGCGAGGTCTGGAATATGCTGGTGCTGCTGTAACGCTAAATTCGCAAAATTCGCGAAATTTGCGCACGCAACAGGACTCGCCCCGAAAGCGGCGGCGAAAGGGGACGAAGGCGGTGCGAGTGGAGTGAAGGGGGACGGAGGAGTGGCTATACCGAAGGGGAGTAAAGGCGGTGTGATTGTAGCGCCCGGCGCAAGAAATGGCGACGTGGACAATGCACGGAGAGAGGCTAGTATGGCTTCTCTATCCATCTCCGGCGCGAAAATTGACCTAAAAAAAAAACTAATAATTGAGGGTTCTAAGAACGCTGAAGAAATGGGAAAGGGCAGCGCGAGAGCAAAAGAATTCTCTTGGTTGAGCCCAGCTCTATCATGTCTGCTAGGAGTGGAGAAGCTATTGCTCAACCTATCGTTTCTTCCAGAGCTGAACGTAGTATGTTGGGTGATTTCCTTGCCTTGCGGCGACCTGGGTTCCAGAATTCTGCAGGTCTGTTTTGTTCTCTCCCAGTGCCTTCGCGGGGTTTGGGTTAAGTGGTTGGGTGAGGGTGGTTTGCTTGTTGCTTCCCTGCAATCACCATCGTCGATGCGCCTTGTTTGTGATGTTCTGTAGCTCGGAAGATGCCTTGTGCTTGTTCCGATAATCGACGGCTCGTACGCGTCCAATCTCCGTGTCCGAGCATACTGCTGGAGTCCGAAGTATGGGCGGGCAAGACGAGCAAATGCAGGCACACTGGTGGACGAGTCACGAGCGTTCCCTGAAATCTGCTGGAACAGAGGCACGCGAGGTTGCGCTGGCGACTTGATGAGGATCAGCCGGTTGGCGATGTTGTCAGAACGTGCGGATGAAGCAGCATTTGCGTTTATTGCGACGCACAGGTGATGGTGACGCACACATGGAGACGGATGGCATGGCATGGCTGTGCATGGTGGTGCTGAAGCTTGAACTCGCCTGCTCAAGCAATGGCCTCGGATGAGTCAATACAAATTTGTCAATTGACCGTTCTTTCCATCATATCGCACAAAAGCCGCATGGTACCCTGCGGGTGCCGCAGGTGAATGGGGTGTAGTTGTGCCGGACCGGATGTATCGAAAGGGGCAAGACGATCAAGATAAGGGCCATAAATATTGGCTGATTGTAAACATTCTGTACTGTATTTCACTCGGTTCGCTTTTTGGTACATTAGAGCGGGTGGGCACCATTCCCGAAAGCGGGGGGATTCGAGAAAGGAAAGCAACCCTTACCAATACAACTCTCACATGCGTTCCGCACATGGGACCTCGCACATCGACATTTCTGCAATACAGTACACCTAGCTCTCGATAATTGCACACCCCCTACCCTTTTTTCCCGAAGGCACCCTTTTACGGACTTTGACTTGATGCGATGGACACCCAGAGATTGCGGGACTAGACAGCTGGCAGGTACCTCCAGAAAGGACTCGCACTTCAAATTTGGGGTCGGGGTTTAGTTAGGTTTGGGTTCTCTTTTATATTCATGGTGCACCCCGACATTTCGCGAAAGTACGTCGGACCCTCCTCCGCGGTTTTCCTAGACGTTGGTAAATGCCCTACGAAACCGATAGGGGTAGGGTAAGTACCCCAAGGTGTGTCATTAAGAGGTGTGAAATAATCGAGAACAGGATGTACAGCCAACCATCACCTCCCATTCGATTTGCTCCGCTCCGCTCGCGAGGCTGTGTGCGCAATTCCAGCTGTCCGCCAGCCGCCAACCACTACTTTCGGAAGGAAAGCAAGGTGGTGTGGTGGGGTGTAGCGGTGGTGGTGTGTTGATGGGTGACGGATGGCATGTGAAACATGTGATTGCGCCCACATGTTCCCCCCAACCCACTAATGCGCCATTTCCCCTTCCAAGATTGTCATTGACGGGCTTTCTGCCAGCTTGACAACTTTCAAACTGCCCTGACTCAGGAGCTACACTTCCGAAACTAGAGAATTTGGGTGGTTGGGCTGGTACCTCCAGTGGCAGTGTACAGCTCGGCTTCTCTCTCAAAACAGTTTCAGAAAGTGCCACGTGTGATAGGAGGGCACATCTCGGGGCCTGAAACAAGCACCGCCTCACACGAATGGTGGGGACAAAATTTGCCGCAGGTGGGGAGCCCAGCACGAGCGATGCACAGTGAAGCATTTCTTTCTCGACCGCGATAGGCCCGTCCCTCATTCGCGATAAGCAGTACGAAAAGTGTGTGGACCGCAGTTTCCGCGCCAAGAGAACTCATCCTCGATAAAACTCAAAAGATGTGATGCTTTTACACTGTATTCGATATAGAGAAAATGTGCATACGATTGAAAGAACAATCATGCACGAGGTACTGGATAATCAAGGTCCAGTAAATCGTTACTGGCAATAACATTGGTTAAAGAATGGGCAGAAACACTCGCAGCTGTCAGTAAGGCTTGACATATAACAATCAATGAGTGGAAGCACAGTGGGCGGAGGAGGGGGGGAAGGTGCAGGAGGTGGGAAAGGGGGAGGCGATGGGGGCGAGGGAGGGGGGGGAGAGGGGGGAGGTGGGGGATTGGGGGGCGGGTTAGGGGGAGATGGGGGAGGCCTAGGAGGGGGGCTCGGAGGTGACGGTGGGGAAGGAGGAGGCGATTTTGGAGGTGGGGAGGGGGGAGGGGAGGGTGGGAGGGGCCCTGGCGGAAATGGCGGTGGCGGTGGTGGGCTGGCTGAAACATACACACAGAAGACAAAGGGAAATCATAATGAGATCAGAGTGAGTTTACTCATTAAATCTGAGAGGAGGAGAGAGCGAGAAAATTCGATCGTGCAGTCTGATAGAGGAGAGGAAGCCACATCAAGAGGAGAGAGAGTGAGAGAATCAGATAATGCACTCTGAGTTACTCTTAGCTAATGCTTTTTCTTCCATGGAACTTGAGCTATTGGGACGTCAGAAAGGGTAAGGAGGGGCGTGTGGGGGGGAGGGTGTGGGGGGTGGGGACTCCCCACTAATTTTTGGTTTTGAGCAACCCTTGTAATCAGTGTTGCACCTGTTCAAAAACCTGATTATCAGTGTGACATCTTGTTCAAACCCTGATCCATCAGTGTTTTTCTTGTTTTTTAAAATCCAACCCTGTGGCATCAGTCAGGGCTGTTTTTATCAGGGTAATTACCCTGATTTCAGGGTGATTTCACGCTTTCCACTTTGTGGAGACTGAAATTTCAGAATTAATTATTTTCTCAATCCTGATCCAATCAGAGTAATTGCCAGCACATGTATTGTCGAGGCTGAAATTCCTGTTTCGACAGTTGGCAATCGGGAATCCCGGGTTACAGGAAAGGGGGGGGGGGGGGGGGGGGTATTGTACTCGCTTCAGGGTAAATTTCGTTATGAAGATCGGTAACCCTGAGGCATCAGTGTGCCTTAAATGTAAACCCTTGCAAATCAGGAAAATTCTAGCTCCAAAAAAAATTACCCAAGGCCATCAGTGTGACTACCAAAAACCACCCTGATAATCAGGGTATCAGGGTGATTTACACTGATAAAATTAGTGGTGGTGGGGAGAGGGGCGAAGAAGAGAAGATATCTTCATAAGGGTCTTACAAGGAAGATATTTGAGACGTCTCAAAAGGCGGAGTGGGGAGAGGGGGGAAGAAGAGAAAATATCTTCACAAGGGTCTTACATGGAAGACCGCAAGATTTGGAGTCTGCAGTACGGACAAACGGCGCTGTGCACTGGCACTGGTAGAAGAGCACTCCGTCGCCGCTCAGACTCGCCACACACATGCCCTTCTCGTACCCGCGCTGCTGGGGCCACTGTGGCTGTCGGGCTGTATCGGGGTCGCCGTGCACTGGCACTGGTAGAAGAGCACTCCGTTGCCGCTCAGACTCGAAAACAGAAGGAAGGGCAGGCACGAGACGGGGACTTACGTGGCAGGTCACAGGACTTGGCGTCTGCAGAACGGACAAACGGTGCCGTGCACTGGCACTGGTAGAACAGCACCCCGTTGCCGCTCAGATTCGAAAACAGAAGAAAGGGCAGGCAGGGGACGGGGACTTACGTGGCAGGTCACAGGACTTGGCGTCTGCAGAACGGACGAACGGCGCCGTGCACTGGCACTGGTAGAACAACACCCCGCTGCCGCTCAGATTCGCCACACACATGCCCTTCTCGTACCCGCACTGCTGGTTCGGAAAAATCGGCATCGCAAGGCTTGTCCCACAGAACACAAAGCACTCGTCCTCCGTCTTCTGCGCCTCCACAAAACTCACTGTCAGCCCGGATATGGCTGTGCAAGTGTTTGCGAGGTTTAAGAGGCAGTTCTGGGCGATTGTGTAGGAGGAGGTGGGAGGGTCCGGGCAGAGGGGTAACCCAATGCTGTCGGTGCCGTCATTGGCTGACCCGAAAAAGAAGTTGTTGGAGAGGTCGGTGGATTTTAGCTCGCCTAGAAACCCGATCTTGGGTAAATACCCCGAGAAATAGTTGTAGGAGATGTTGCTGTGGGGGGTGGGAGGGAAGGTTAGCACAGGGTGGCATGCAGGGTGTTTATGAGCATATGCAAAACACCCTGCAACATCAGGGTGGCATGCAGGGTGAAGGGAAGAGGAAGGTTGAGGAGACGAGCGAGGACAGAGGGATTAAAGAGTGGAAGTGTTTTGAGTCGACACTTTTTGGAGGGATTAAATAGAGGAAGGCAGGGTTTTGAAAGGGTTGGAGGGAAACACATTGACTTACTGAACTAGAGATTTCAGAAATCTCACATGGATTGAAGTGAAATGAGGGCGCTGAAGATGGTTTGCACGTGTTATGAGCTGACTTAGTCACAGAAAATCTCTCGGAATCTCACATGGATTGAAGTGAAGTGAGGGCGCTGAAGATAGTCTGCACTTGGCCACTGAAATAGTTGTTGCTGAGGTCGCTGGTGGGCAGAGAGAGGGGTGAGGAGGGGTGGGGAGGGGCAAGGAGGGGTGGGGAGGGGTGAGGAGGGGTGGGGAGGGGTGAGGAGGGGTGGGGAGGGGCGAGGAGGGGTGGGGAGGGGTGAGGAGGGGTGAGGAGGGGTGGGGAGGGGTAAGGGAGAGAGAGGGGAGGGGCACAGGGGAAAAGGGGAGAGACACAGAACAGTGAGAGCGCTGAAGAGAGTCCGCACGTGGCCACTGAAGTAGTTCAGCAGCAGCAAGTACTGACAGTCGCTGGTGGCTGTGAGCGGGTTGAGAAAGGGCGGGCGGAGAGAGGCAAGGGACAGAGAACAGTGAGTGCAGTGCTGATATTTCAAAGCAGGGAAGCAATGTCAGAGCGCGCAGAGTAGAGTCTGCACATGGCAACTGCAGTAGTTGCTGCTGAGGTCGCTGCAATAGGAGAGCAACACTCAGAAGGGAGGGGTGAGATCCTGTGGAAACGGTTTTTGAGTCGACTAAAAAATCGTCTCGTCACACGTGGCCACTGCAGTAGTTGCTGCCGAGGTCGCTGGTGGGCGGTGGTGAGTGGGGAGAGAAAGGGTTCGCTGCAATAGGAGAGGAGAGCAATACTCAGAAGGAAGAAGCAGTGAGTTACTGAGGAAGGCAGACTCGTCGGAAGTAAAGAGATTGGAGAGACCATTTGAACGATCTCGGAGTTCGGTGTGGGATTGGCCTTTCAGGTGACTCCGATTAAGAGGTGTGGGATTGGCCTTTGAGAGTTGTCAGAGGTGACTCCGATTAAGTAGCGTGGAATTCGGGAAAGGAAAGCAGACTCACAGAGAGTAGAGGGACTGCAGATTGGAGAGAGACTTGGGCAGGGAACCAGACATCTTTTGAGGCGCCTCAAAAACAGACTCCAGTTAAGTAGCGCAGGATTCAGGAAAAGAAAGCAGACTTACAGAGAGTAGAGGGACTGCAAATTGGAGAGGGACTTGGGCAGGGAGCCAGACAGAGAGTTGAAGGCCACGTTGCTGGTGTTGGGGGGGGGGGGAAAGGTGAGGCGCAGGGGAGAGTGCAGATTGGAGAGAGACTTGGGCAGGGAACCAGAGAGAGCTTTGAAGGCCACGTTGCTGGTGTGGGGGGGTTGAGGCGCAGGGGAGGGAAGAGGGGAGAGAGGAGGCGAGAGGGGAATGTGAGGAGAGTGCAGGTCGGTCGGAGAGAGGCTTGGGCAGGGAGGCGGACAGAGAGTTGAAAGAGATGTTGCTGATGCGGGGGAGGTGGGGCGCAGGGGAGGGAAGAGGGGAGAGAGGAGGCGAGAGGGGAATGTGAGGAGAGTGCAGGTCGGTCGGAGAGAGGCTTGGGCAGGCTGTGGACAGAGAGAGAGTTGAAAGAGATGTTGCTGGGAATGGCGGTCGGAGAGATGCGGTCGGGCAGGCGGTGGACAGAGAGAGGGTTGAAAGAGATGTTGCTGGGAATGGTGGTCAGAGAGACGCGGTCGGGCAGGCGGTGGACAGACAGAGAGTTGAAAGAGATGTTGCTGGGAATGGTGGGGAGGAAGCACATGAGTGGAGGAGGTGACACACAAGGGAGGTGGGTGGAGCATGGGGGAGGTGGCACGTGAGGGAGGTGGGTGGAGCATGGGGGAGGTGGCACGTGAGGGAGATGGGTGGAGCATGGGGGAGGTGGCACGTGAGGGATGAGAGGGATGTGGGTGGGGCAGGGGGGGAGGAGGAGGTAACAAATGAGGGAGGTGGGGCATGGGGGAGGCAGGTAGAAGGTGAGATGAGAACTTCAGGCAGCCAATTGATAGATGGAATTCAATCTACTGAGGCTGGACGGAAGTCACTGTGATGCCTGGAAGCATTTAACTCATTATCACATCAATGGACGGAAGTCACTGTGAGAATCTGGAAAGCATTTCACTCACAAGAAATTAAGGTCTTTGGGGTTCCGAGTTTAGACTCACAAGAATCTAAGGTCGGTCATGTTTGTGGTGAACATTGAAGGAAGAGTACCCGATAACAAGTTCTCTGACACGTCTCTGAAACAGGCGAGAGGAAAAGGTGGGAGGGGAAGGGCGTCAGGCAAAGTCTTTGAAGTCTTGCTTGTGGTGAACATTGAAGGAAGAGTACCTGATAACAGGTTCTCTGACACGCCTCTGGCACAGGAGAGGAAAAGGAGGAAAAAAAGAGGAAGGAAAAAAAGAGGAAGGAAAAAAAGAGGAAGGAAAAAAAGAGGAAGGAAAGAAAGAGGAAGGAAAAAAAGAGGAAGGAAAAAAAGAGGAAGGAAAAAAAGAGGTCGAACAACAGGGAACCAGCGAGACTGGTGGGTGCGTTTGATGTGTGAGGAAGTAGGGTGAGACTGTGGGCACATATATTAGAACGTAGGAGGCGAGTGCAGGCCTATTCCTCAAGGAGAGGAACCACTGATGAAAGAAGAGGAGACGGATGGAAGAGGGAGAACGTACAATCATATTATTTTGAAGGAGAACGAAAGAAGTAAGGTAGAGAGAGCACGTGCAATCAATAAAGACAAGAATGAGGAGCATACGTTGGGAGAGATAGGAGGTGAGTGGACGGGAGGGGAGGGGATGGGAGGGGAGGGGAGGGGAGGGGAGGGGAGGGGAGGGGAAGGGAGGGGAGGGAGAAGAGGGGAGGGGAGGGGAGGGGAGGAGAGGGGAGGGGAGGGGAGGGGAGGGGAGGAGAGGGGAGGTGAGGGGAGGGGAGGGGAGGGGAGGGGAGGTGAAGGGAGGGGAGGGGAGGGGAGGGGAGGGGAGGGGAGGAGAGGGGAGGGGAGGTAGAAGAGGGGAGGGGAGGGGAGGGGAGGAGAGAGAACGTACACTTGATAAAGGTAGGAGAGTGTGGAGAGGGAGGAGGGGATGGTCCCAATAATGAAGTTGTTGTTCAACAGACTGGTTGGGGAAGATGGGCAAGGGCAAGCGAGGAGGGGGGGGGGAGGGGAGGAGGAGAAGCGGAAACAGTGAATGAGAGAATTGTTGTCAAGCAGACTGGTTGGGGAGAGGGGAGAGGGGAGAGAGGAGAGGGGAGAGGGGGGTGGGGAGAAGAAACTAAGGAGTAGGATATAAAGGGAGCAGTTGCTGTTGATAAGCAGACTGTTTGGGCAGAAGGGGGAGGGGAGTGGGGATGGGGGTGTAGTAGGGGGAAGGAGAAGACTAGCGTGTTGCGAGGGGGATGGGGACAAGACGACTCACAGGATGGCAAGGAACTCAAGGGCGGAGTAATCGGAGGGAATGGAGCCGGATAGAGTGTTGCGGGAGAGAATCCTGTTGGGTGCATGGGGCATGGGAGATGGGTGCAAGGCATGAGACGTGGGGTGGGGGTGCGGGTTGTTGGGCATGGGAGGTTCGACATGGGAGGTTGGGCATGGGAGGTTGGACATGGGAGGTTGGGCATGGGAGGTTGGGCATGGGAGGTTGGGCATGGGAGGTTGGGCATGGGAGGTTGGGCATGGGAAGAGGTTGGCACGGGTTAGTGAAGGTACTGAGAGGCAGGGTGACTAAACTGAATAGTTACAAAGTGTGCACACAAGGCATCGAGGGAGGTGGGTGAGTGTGCTGAGAGATGGAGAGAGCGATACGAGCTGACTTTTGAGTCTACTCAAAAACATTGCAGGGTGCTTTTGAAAGTTCTCAGAAACAGCGTGCTGCTTGGAATGCACAAGGAATTGAGGCGAGGGTGGTGGTGGGGGTGCTGGGGTAAGCAGGGAGAGGTATGACTGTTGCAGGGTGTTTAAAACCCTCAAAGGCAGGGCGCTGCTTGAAACACACAGGGAATCGAGTGTGGTGAGGGTACTGAGAGATGAAGGGAGCGATCCAGATAGCTTGTTGTTGTTGGCGCGACTGCGAGAGAGGAGGAGTGGAAAGGGAAGGGAGGGGTGTGGAGGGGAGGAGAGGGGTGGAGGAAAGAAAAAGCAGGGATGGGAGACTGTAGGAATGACGGGATTGCTTAGGGTTTTAGCCAAGAAAGAGGGTAAAGCAGGGCAGTGAAGGGATGAAAGAGGAAGGTGGGGCACTCACACGTATAAGAGAGACAGGAGAGCTGAGAACGACGCTGATATTGAGGTGACTTTTGAGTCGACTTAAAAGGCAGGAAAGGGGTGGCCCCTCACACGTAGACGAGAGACAGGAGAGCTGAGAACGACGCTGGTATTGTCCCAGAGATAGTGTTGTTGTCAACGAGTCTGCTTATAACGAGACCGCATTAGAAAAAATAGAGTTTGCAGGAAGAAAACCAGACTGGAAGCATGAGAGGAGCAGGAGGGGTATCTGTACTCTAGAGGTTGTAGGATAATTTTGAGAATTCTCAAAAATATGCTACTAAGGAGAGTAAAATTACTCATTCTCTAGAGGAAGTGTTGGAGGAAGTGCATGAAGGAGGGTGTTGGACGGAAATAGCAAGCATTCATTGTTTGATTTGAGGGCCTCGGATTGACACGCCTGGAAAAAGACGAGGCATACGTACAGGTTGCGCAGATTGGTGAGCGTGCTGAGAGCAGAAGGCAGCGAACCAGAGAGAGAGTTGTTGCTGAGTTGCCTGGAGGGGGAGGAGGAGATGGAAGGAAGGAGAGACGGCGGGAGAGGGGGGATAATCAGAGAAAGAGGGGGAAGGGGAAAGGTGCGTATGAGTAGTGGTTTAGTCCGCTCCGCACAACATCAGAAATGGAAAGAAGGCGGAATGGAAAGGAGGGAGAGGAATAACATGCGTAGGGGGCGGCATGGTGAGCTCAAGACACTGGTGACAGTGGGAAACATGGGCTAGTTGTGGGTGGGCAGAAGAGAGGAGGGACTCCCTCTTCTGCGTGAGAGGAGGGAAAAACGCAATGGGCGTGGAATAGAGAAAGGAACTGAGTAACTGCACACTCACTCACTCCAACGCTCATTCACTCACTCACTCACTCACATGGCCTCCAACACAGTGAGGGTGCTGTACTGAGAAGGGATCGAGCCCGAGAGTTTGTTTTGACGGATGTCGCTGCAAGGAGAATGGGATGTTTTACAGCACCAGGAAGGCGGCAAAAGAGCGGAATTTTTTATGCGCCCGCAAATTGCAATGCGAAGTCAGCCGAGCTGACGGCCATAAAAATCTTTCAAGGTCCCACTGATTCAGGCTCATATTGTGGAGTAGCAGCAAACCTTAGAATCCACTATGAGCCTGAATCCTTGGGACCTTGAAAATTGTAATGCGAAATCAGCCGAGCTGACGGCCATAAAAAACTGCAACGAGAGGAACACACGGGGGAGGGTGAAGGAGAGCGAGGAAACCTCTTATAGAGAGTACAAGAAGCAAGCTCACATGGTAACTCTTATAAAGAGTACAACAAGCAAGGCTGTCAGCAGCCTTTTATGGGGAGTACAACAAGCAAGGTTGTAAGCAGCCTTTTATAGCGAGTACAGCAAGCAAGATTGTACCCAGCCTTTTTATGGCGAGTACAAGAAGGTTGTGCGCAGCCATTTATAGAGAGTACAAGAAGCAAGCTCACATGGAAACGAGTCGGCGGAGGGCAGAGAGAGAGGAAGATTTTGAGGCGCCTCAAAAGTCGTCTTTTAAGGCAACTAAAAGCTCACATGGAAACAAGTCGGCGGAGGGCAGAGAGAGTGGCAGGCAGTGACCCTGTTAGAAGGTTGTTGGGGACGGATCTGAGATGGGAAGATGCGAGGGGATGGATGTGGGAAGACGGATGGATGGGGGAAGACGGCCGGGGAAATGGAAAGAAACCAGATTTTGAGAGAGGTTCTCGAAGAGAGGAGCGGACGGGAGAGAGAGGAAAGGTAGTCGCAGTGAGATGAGAAGCGCGGAGCATGGGGCATGGAGCCTGTAAAGTGGTTTGGGTCCAGCCGCCTTTTTGAGTCAAATCACAGTCACCTCGTAACTGCTCTGCTCGCTCACAGGACGGTAAGAGCTGTTAGCTTTGACAAGCCGGAGGGGATGGAGCCTGTGAACTGGTTCGAGTCCAGCCGCCTGCAGAACGATTCAGAACGATATGAAACGATGCAGAGAAGTGCGGGCCGATATGGAGAGGTGTGTGGTGTGGAGAGGCATGAAAGAAGTTGACGGAAGAGAGGGGTGTGGGAAGATATGAAAAACACGGACAAATAGTGCAGGGGGACCTGGGGAATGAATTAAAACGGAAAGATGGAAAAACAAGAAGGAGCGCAGGAGATTTTTACTTTCATTCTTTCTTTCAAGAGTAACGATTCTTTCAAAGCACTTGGATGGTGCCAGACAGGGGTTTGTTTTGAGGGTGGAGAGGGAGGGAGGGAGGGAGTCAGACAGGGGTTTGATTTGAGTTGCATACTGTCAGAACACTCTCGGAAACAATAGCTGGCTTGCATACAGGGAACTTTGAAAGAACCGTTACTGGACAAGAATGATTCCCATATATGCAGGGAGCTTTGAAAGAATCGTTTGTGCAAAAGAATCGTTCCCTTACATACAGGGTGGTGAGGGATGTGAGCGTGGAGAGGAAGGGAGGAACGGGGCCGGACAGGGAGTTGCTAGGAAGTTTCCTGATGTCAAAGTGCGAGGAGAATGGGGAAAAATATCAATGGAAAGCGAGGATAGAGGGATGGCGACAACAGTGAGCAGTCAGGATGATCTCAAGGTTGGGGGGGGGGGGGGGGAACGGGATGGCGCGAATGGGCGTGCCTGAGTAAGCATACGGGTGACGACGATGGAGAATGACTGAGCACACGCACGCACGCACGCATGCTCACACACATGCACACACACACACACAAATGCGTGCACACATGCACACACACACACACAAATGCGTGCACACATGCACACACACACACACAAATGCGTGCACACATGCACGCACGCACGTCGCACACATGCACGCACACACACACACACACATGCACACACACGCACGCACACGCACGCACGCACGCACAGGTCTTTAAGGCTCTTGAGTGCAGAGATGACGGAGGGGAAGGGCCCTGCGAGACCGGCCTTGCTGAACGACCTGCCATGTTGTAAGTGTGGGGAGAGGTGCGTGGCACGGAAAGGGGAGAGGTGGGTGGCACGGAAAGGGGAGAGGTGGGTGGCGTGGCACGGAAAGGGGAGGGAGAGGGAAAGGGGTCGGTGGGACGGTTAAGGGGAGGGGAAGATGGTGGGGAAGGGCCCTGTGAGACCGATCTTGCTGAACGATCTGCCTCGTGGAAGGTGTGGGAAGGGCGGATGGCAAGGGGATTGGAAGATCGCCTAACTGAGGATTGGAGGGGACGGACGATGGAAGGGAAGCAACGATGGAGGAGAAGGGGCCCCTAACTGAGTGAGACCGGCCCTTTTTGTCGAGGTTGATTTTAAGAATTCTCAAAATCAACTTCAACACAAGTGAAAGGCAGAAAAGACGGAGGAGAAGGGGCCTGTGAGTGAGTGAGACCGGCCTTGCTGAACGACGTGCCTCGTGGTGGATGTGAGGTGGGGTGGATGGCAAGAGGAAGGGTGGATGGCAAGAGGAAGGGTGGATGGCAAGAGGAAGGGTGGATGGCAAGAGGAAGGGTGGATGGCAAGAGGAAGGGTGGATGGCAAGAGGAAGGGTGGATGGCAAGGGGAGGGGTGGATGGCAAGGGGAGGGGTGGATGGCAAGGGGAGGGGTGGATGGCAAGGGGAGGGGTGGGGACTGAGGGATTAGATGACGCAGAGAGGGGGACAGACAGACAGAGGTGAATGAAAGGATTTTTTATGTGCCTCAAAAATCGACACAGAGGGGGGGACAGACAGAGGTGAATGCAAGGGATGGCGAGGTTTGGGTGCAAGAAGTATCGAAAATGAGCATTGGCGAGGAGAATGAAATGAAAGGCACTGGAAGGGAGCGAGGGGAAGGGACGAGAACGGACTGCATGGAAGAGGTATCGTACATGAGTGGTAACTAGGTAGCGGAGAGGTGCTTTTGAGAATTCTTACTGAGAGGTGCGGGAAGGGAAGGGGGCGAGGGACTGCTTGGAAGACCTGTCTGCGTTAGCGAGGTGAGGCGAGCTGCGTTGCGCGCACGCGCCGGTTTTTGAGAATCCTCAAAAACCAGCTCTGCGTTAGCGAGGTGAGGCAAGCTGCGTTGCGCGCACGCGCCGCACGCCTGCTAAGGGCTTTTGAGACGTCTCAAAAGTCGCACGCGCCGCACGCCTGCTAAGGGCTTTTGAGACGTCTCAAAAGTCTCACGTGCCGCACGCCTGCTAAGGGCTTGGAAAGCAAGCACAAGGCGAGTATAGATTGCATTGCAACGGTTCCAACCCTTCTCAGCCCCTTACAGGAGTGTTAGCGAGGTGAGCTGTGTCATGGAAGCCGGAAGGCTGGGGATGTCTCCGTTGGCAGTTCTGGTGGCACGGCAGGTGGGGGTGGGTGTGGAAGAGGGGAGGAGGGGGTTATGGGAAATGGGGGGGAAGGAGGGGGTTATGGGAAATGGGGGGGAAGGAGGGTGGGTGAGCCAAGTAAAGTGTGGGGTGGGGGCGATCTTTGAGTCAACAAAAAAATGGAGGCTGAGAGGGTGGGGGTGACTCCGATTGCAGTTTTGGTGGCATGGCGGGCAGGGGTAGGTGGGTGGGTGGGGTTGAGTGGGGTTGATTATGTAGCCATTCAAAGAAGGAAGCTCGGAGGCTGGAAGGCTGGGAAGCTGGGGAGGGATGTTGCTGCAATTCCGGCCAAATGGCATGGCAAACAGACAGGGGTGGTTGGGGAGGGAAGGGGGGAGGGTGTGCGATGTGAAGTGAGAATGTGCGTTGTAGAGGCAACATCGCGAGGTGGTGATTAATAGTTGCGTCATTGCAATATACATCTGCTTACAAACATAACAACTGGTGTATATGATTGTGTGCTGTATGCTGTATGCTCACTCACAGCGATCGTAGGGCTGTCAAGTCACCCAGTGCAGAAGGGACTGTTTCAATCGCATCGTACAGGGTCCTGCTTGGGGGGCGTGTTACGTGTGTGTGCTGTGTGCTTTTGAATCGAATCAAAAGAGATCTTCTTGGGGGGCGCGTTACATGTGCAGTGTGCTCACTCACAGCGATCGTAGGGCTGTCAAGTCACCCAGTGCAGTCGGGATCGTCCCAATCGCATCGTACAGAGACCTGCTTGGGTTAATGACCAGAGGAGAGCAGAGCAGGCAAAGCAGAGCAGAGCAGAGAAGAGCAGATTGGAGCAGACTCAGAGTAAGGGACCGAAGACTCACGTGAATGACACAGCGTTAAATTTCTAACAAATATATACCAACAATGACGAAAGGTGAGTACACTCACGGAAACACACGTTCCCAGGGAGATATAGTCAGCTAAGAAGAGCAGGAAGCAATCCGTGTGTGTCCCTATTATTCATCAATAATAACACAATGGTACAACGTCTTTCCTGAGATGGTACACTGACAGAGACACGACGTTCCCAAGGGAGTCGCAGCCAGCCGCAAAAAGTGGGGAGCGGTCCGATCCGAGCGTGTCCCAATCAACATAAAAACTTGATGGTACACTAAGTACACTCACAGAGACACACGTCCTCCCCAAGCTGTACACTCACAGAGACACACGTTCCTCCCCAAGCCGTACACTCACAGAGACACGACATTCCCGAGGGAGTCGCAGCCGGCCCCAAAGAGAAGGGAGCAATCCGAGCGGCTGGTCCAGAATGCCTTAGGGCTGCGACTAGGGTGCAGGAACGTGAGCCGCAGGCAGCCTTGAACAGCATGGCACAGCACACTCACAGAGACACGACGTTCCCGAGGGAGTCGCAGCCGGCCCCAAAGAGAAGGGAGCAATCCGAGCGGCTGGTCCAGAATGCCTTGGGGCTGCGACTAGGGTGCAGGAACGTGAGCCGCAAGCAGCCTTGAACAGCATGGCACAGCACACTCACAGAGACACGACGTTCCCGAGGGAGTCGCAGCCGGCCCCAAAGAGAAGGGAGCAATCCGAGCGGCTGGTCCAGAATGCCTTCGGGCTGCGGCTAGGGTACAGGAACGTGAGCCCGTCTCTTAACGAAACGAGGGCCAGCCCTGTAACGGGGATGATCGGCGGATAGGGGAGGAGAGGAAGGGGCTTTGGAGACACGTAGCTGGAAATCTGGTGTTGTGCAAACTTAGCAAGGGACCAACCAACCAAGGATTATAAGTTGAACAAAAGCGATCAGTGTTGTGGTATAGTGTCAGGATTTACTAGCTAGCCACTAGTTAGGGGTGGTGTAATGCGCATGGTAAAAAGTATGTGTATCAGAAGGAGGAGACCACAAGTTGAGCTCAGCGAGCTGTCTTATAAAGGAGTTGAAAACAAGAGTGCAGAATGATCACATTGCGGATAGGAAACAGCAAGAGCAGCAACGCAGTACCATCTACGGGCTACAGCGTCAAGAATTCAAGGCAAGAGCAGAGTCTACGTACATTGCGGGTAGAGGACATTGCGGGTGGAGAACAGCTACAGCAGCGGCGTGTTTTGAGTCGACTCATAACAACATCAGAGACAACGTACGTACATTGCGGGTAGAGGACAGCGACAGCAGCGGCACCAGGCGGTCCGATGCACGAGGGAAGGAGAAGCACTAGTAGCGGCGGCAGCAGCAGCAGCAGCAGCGAGGAGCTGCCGCGGAACATGCCACGAGGCACCAGGGAAGGGGACCCGATGCTTCTACGATGAATCTCGGAATAGCGCGTTTCGTTACTACGCGTTTTGGTGAAAATTCCCCCGCTACAGTGGGTTCCAGTAAAGTGCATAACGCAGCGAGTTGTCCCGCTACAGCATCTCCTGCTACAGCGCATATTGCTTAAAAGCCACTCAGTCGGCTCTCCTTGTTCCTATTAGCTGCTTCGACACGTCCTTTTTGTCCCATTCATTGTCACAAGGTGAGCTGGTTCCATCATAAAGGTCCGTTTGATCTCCTTAACCGTTAGGGACGACATGCTGCCGCGGCTTGGATAGTTGCACTAAGTGACATGGTATAGGATGTCCTGAGGAGCGGCCGACCAATGGCGTGGTTCTTGAAGCGAATGTATGGAAGGTAGTATTGCGTGATTATCCTCCTTCTCTCGCGCAACGCAACGCTTGAACCGTGTCACAGCAGGCTATGGTGCACGCATGATGCGATGCGGACTCTACGGGATGAACAGCGAGGTACGCCCAGGGCGAGTCTGAACGGACACACTAGCGTTTGGACGGCCAATCCGCGTGAATTAAACGCTATTCAGTGGAACGCGGTGGAAAGTACTGCTTCCATTGTTTAACACGCTTTCCCTGAATAGCTCTCAGCTTTGAGTCAGGTATCCTCCTGCTTGCAGCGCAGCTGCTCCAATATTTGCTATATAAGCTTCGCACTATAACCTGCGATAAAAGTTTCCACTTTTCTACGATGAAAATTATACAAGCTAATGTATCTGTCAAATTTGATGTAGGTGATGTACGGAATGCAATCCCAAAGCGGTGATGTGGAACAAGGAGCCTACTGGCAGAGTGTGGGCTCAACGGGTTTGCTGATTCGCGAATCAGAAAAGCTGGTGCCCTGCTTGAAAAGGAGGCGCTGGGCAGTGGGCAGCTGTCAAACAAAGTCAGACAGCTCGATACAGTGCACTGTACAGCAGCCGTGCCTCCCATGCGACAACCATTTTCTGGCGCAAACAGAAATGTTTCACGGTTTTGTGAAAAAACATGCTGAAATCATGGAGCAAAACAATTTGGTTTTTGTATGTGATGAAGAGATCTGCTGTAAGGAGCAGCTGTTCTTTTCTTGCCCTCTGTGTTCAACAAACCTTTCCACCATTGTTGCAAATGCTTGTCAGAAATTGGCCGCCAGGTTGTCTCTCCCTAGAGATTGCATTTCTACAGCCATGGGGAATATGATGGCGTTCAAAAAATATTCTGACGTGTTTCCATCTTGGCAGGATAATAAAAAGGAGCCTTTGTCTTCCACGCTTCGACTTCGAGGCTTTCTCCTTAGCCATTCCCTCCCGAGCCATTACCTACTAGCCAATCCCTCCCTGCCCACTCCATCCGCTCCGCTTCCCTCGCTGACTATTCCCCCATTCAACGTGGACGAGACAGCCTCGCTAGTCACACATTCAAGAGTTGACACCGCTGTTATGTGACATTCCTTTCCGAGGGAGTCGCGCTAGCTCTCATTTTGGCTAAATTCGCCAATTTGGACGCTCCGGTCATTTGCGCATTCAGCGTGTCATATTACGACCATCGCGTCAGTTTCCATCGCGTACACTCATTTCCTTTCTAGAGAATCCGCACATCCGCCGCCTAATCGGCTCGCGAGAATGCGCGGTGTACCAAACGTGTTTTTCTTGCTGTCGTCGCGGCTCGAGTAGTTACTAATTCCACACGGCGTACCCTCGGAAATGGGAAGTCCAGACGGCATACGCTGGGAAATGGGGAGGGACGTGGGAACGTGTCGTTTCCACGTCCCGCGATTCAGTCTGTTGCTGGCGGCCGTGTTTCTTCTGTCGCTAGTAGCCCTGCAGCAGCAGACCGCGTTTGCTCAAGCCGTCAACGGAACCGACTGTACGTTTCCTGGTTACCGGGTTACCATGTAGTTTATCCCCCCGAAGTCCGTAGTGCTGTGTCTGTGACTGTTCGTGTAATACTGTCGTTGCTCCTCCGATTGCAAACGTTTGACAGGTTCCATTAACGAGCCAGTCTGTAACCTTTTCTGGTTACCACGTACAGGGTTGTCGCTCAAATCGAGCAACGACGACATTTCGCTGCATATGTCCCGGCTCGTCGTTTCTGCTGTCAAATCTGCATTAGGAGACACAGAAGTTGCTCAAGTCATCAACTGTGTCCATCTGTTCCCCCTCCACCCACAAATCCACCCCCTCCCGCTCGCGCTCCCTCCCCCTTTCTCCCCGTCCTCCCAGAAGACCCTCCAGACCACTCCCAGTGTCCCTTCCGATGCCCGAACCCACTCCATGCCACTGCATGCCTCCCCTCTATCCGCCCCTGCAGGGAAGACGCTGCTGCGCATCCGCAATGAGCTCAACTTCACCAACCCCGCCCGCAGCCCCAAGGCGCACTGGAAGAACTTCTTGCGACATGATAAGGATACCACCCCATGACGCCAGGCCATGGTGCCTCCCCTTGTGCAATGCGTCCCTGCCAGTTCATGCATGCCTGTGCTCCTCCCCTCCATCCGCCCCTGCAGGGAAGACGCTGCTGCGCATCCGCAACGAGCTCAACTTCACCAACCCCGCGCGCAGCCCCAAGGCGTACTGGAAGAGCGCCAAGAGCTGCGATGAGCTCTTTGGGGTTATCTGCGACGACCTTGGATACGTTGTTGCACTGTGAGTTACATTGTTTGTATGCTTTGTAAGTTCATGACTCTCTCTCTCTCGCTCTGTCTCCCCATGCCCTGTCACCATACCACTGTCATGTCATTGTTTCGAAGCACAACCCTCCACCACGCCGGTCATATCCCCTGCAGCACTTCTTACGGAACCACCCGGCTCTCTCCCTTTCCCTCTCTTGACTTCCATTCCATCTTACCCAGGTCGTTCCTTCCCCCTGCCACCCTGTTGTCCCCCCATCCCATTCACCCCGGCCGATTCCCCTGCAGCACGCTCTACGGGTTCAACGGCTCTCTCCCTTTCCCACTATTCACTTCCATGTCGTCCCCCCCGCCACCCTGTTGTCCCCCCATCCCATTCACCCCGGTTGTCTCCCCTGCAGCACGCTGTATGGGGTCAACGGCTCTCTCCCCAACGCCGTTGGCGAACTGCCCTCCCTCGCCTTCCTGTCAGTGCCCTTTCGCTTCGCCTTTTCTCCAACTGCAGTCTCTCCTCTGTCGCTTCTCTCCCTTAGTCCTTATCTCCCACGTGTCAGCACCTTCTCACTGCCCTCCCTCGCCTTCTTGTCAGTCCCCTCTCGCTTCCCGTTCTCTCGAACTACAGTTTCTCCTCTGTCGCCTCGCCCCTTTTCTCTTTATTCCTCACATGTCGCGCCCTCTCACTGCCCTCCCTCGCCTTCCCCTGCTTACATTCAAGCACATCGGGAAAGGCACCGTGCGTGGTTGCCTTTCTCTCCTCTTTCCCCACTCCCCCACTCCCCTCTCACACCAGCTCAGCACTACAGCCTGCATTTGTACGTTCTTGTGCTGAAACGAGCATCTGTCTGTCCCGAAACTTTTGTATCTTCTCTCTCCTTCTCCCTTCTCCTCTCACTCCTCCCTTCTCCTCCCCTCCTCCCGCTCCCCTCCTTCCCTCCTCTTTCCCCCTCCTCTCACGCCAGGTCTGCAGGCAACAATGTCACTTCCATCCCTTCCACCCTCTCCCTTCTCAACGCCACACTCACCTCCCTGTATTGCCACACTCACCTCCCTGTATTGCCGCACTCACCTCCCTGTATTGCCACACTCACCTCCCTGTATTGCCACACTCACCTCCCTGTATTGCCGCACTCACCTCCCTGTATTGCCACACTCACCTCCCTGTATTGCCACTCTCACCTCCCCTGTACTCCAATCGTTTCCCTATTGTTAGGGGTCAGATATCTCAAAGCATCCTCACTAACGTCTCATCTTTGCCTTAAAAAAATTACCCACCTCCTGACACCTGTCTTCCTGCTCACCTCCACTTCTTTATCCACCGGTGTTTATCACTTTTGAGAATTCTCAAAAGTGATTTCAAAAGCCACTTTTTAGATTTCTCACAAGTGATTTCATAAGTCACTTTCGAGAATTCTCCAAAGTGATTTCAATACACCTCCACTTCTTCATCCACCGGTGTTTGTCACAAAGTTACATCCACACGCTCACTAACATCTAGCCTTCTCCTCTCACTCACTCACTCACTCACTCCTTCAGCCATCTGAGCAACAACCAGATCTCAGGGACTTTCCCCAAGGGGATTACGTTGCTGACAGCACTGCAGCAACTGTAAGACTTGCATTCTGTCTGATTTGCCTCGGAACGGGATTTGAAGAGCGTCACATGTCAACCAACCACCAGTGAGGAACAGCAATCTTGGTGGGTCCTTAGTTAATGGAAACCCACAAAAATGTCTTGTGTGTGCTCCTCTATCCCCTCACGCTCCGTCCTTTTTTTTTGCAGGCGTTTTTGTAGAATTCTCTAACTCCATCCGACACACTCCCATGCTCGCACTCCCCATCTCCCCTTTACCATACTCCCCATTCCTCATAATCCCATTCTCCATGTCCCAACCACATGCTCCCATGCCCTCCCTGCCACAGCAACATGGCGCAAAACAGGCTGACTGGCAGCTTACCTGTTGGCATCTCGCGCCTCTCCTAGGCTTACCTGAGACTTCTTTCAAAGTTCTTTTTGTACGGCCCCATCCCATTGCCCTACCTGCCACAGCAACATGGCTCAAAACAGGCTCACCGGCAGCTTACCTGTTGGCATCTCCCGGTTATCCTCTCTCACCTTCATGTAAGAAGAATTATCTTCGTCAGACATCATGAAAACAGCAGCTGTCGCTTTTGAGAATTCTCAAAAGCTTCGTCAGACATCATGAAAACAGCAGCTGTCGACTGTTCTGTGCTGTGCTGTCAATCGGCCTGTGCTGTGGCCTCTGCTGTGGGCTGTGCTGTGGCCTCTGCTGTGGGCTGTGCTGTGGCCTCTGCTGTGGGCTGTGCTGTGGCGTGCTGGAGGTGACTTTTGAGTCGACTCAAAGTCACCTCTGTGGTGTGCTGGGCTGTTCTTTCGATATATGCTTTGCCGTGCAAATTTATGTGTAGTGAAGATGCTTTGCCATCCCAAACTAACCTTCTTTTCCATGTTGTAACACATTTATTCATCTTCTGTGCAGCGAGATTTGTCACACAAAACGCACAACACCTCCTAGATCGATCGACCCTGCCTTCTGCTTAGCTTGTCATTCCCCTTCTTTCCTCTCATTCCCCCAATTTCCGCCCCTGCCCTTCTCTCCTGCTCCTCACATCTCCCATCACCGCTATGGTATCAGAGTTACTCTTGCGAAATCTCGGAAGTAGCTCAGATATTTCCCTTCCCCTCTCTGGTATCGTCACATCTTCAAGTTAATCTCTCTTTATATGCTACACCCACACCTGCTCATCGCCTGTCCTGCCATATACTACTCCCTCGCTCTCTCCCTTCCAGCCGGATGGACGGAAATAGGCTGGATGGGCCAATCCCGTCACAAATATCGACTATGTCCGCCCTCTCCTACCTGTGCGTATGTTTTAAAAGTTTGTTTTCCATCTCAGAATCTTCCTCTTCTTACTTGCAACTAGTTTTTCATTCATTACTCAACGCTGTTTTTTTTGTTTTTTTTTCAATGTTGCAATATCTCTGTGACAATGCCATTTTTTTACTCCTCTTTTGTTATTCTCCTTCCGCCTCACCCGGCACTAGTTGTCTTTCTTGTGCGTCTAATATGACGAAACAAATTTAACCTTTTCTCCTTCCACCTCTCCCTAAGCCATGCTGTGTTGGCTACTGCCTTGTACAAGTGTTCACTATCCCTCATCCCCCTCCTCTTATTACCTTCCCTTTCTGCTCGTCAGCTCGTTGCGAGGCAACCAGCTTACAGGGTCCATCCCAGCCTCCATCTCTCGCATGCAAGCTCTGCAGCTAATGTGAGTTGTGTGAGTGAGTCCAGCGGATGAGTCATGCCATGCGTGCGTTGCATTGCACCTCACTAATGTGCTGCACCTCACTAATGTGCTGCACCTCACTAATGCGCTGCACCTCACTAATGCGCTGCACCTCACTAATGCGCTGCACCTCACTAATGCGCTGCACCTCACTAATGCGCTAATGTGCTGCACCTCACTAATGCGCTAATGCGCTGCACCTCACTAATGCGCTGCACCTCACTAATGCGCTGCACCTCACTAATGTGCTGCTAGACATGCCGTTTTTCTCCTCCTCCTGCTGCTGTGGGTTGTGAGTCGAGTCAAAGCTCACAGGATCCATCCCAGGCTCCCTCTCGAGAGACTTTTGAGAATTCCCAAAAGTCATTCCTGCTGCCGTGGGTTGTGAGTCGGGTCAAAGCTCACAGGGACCATCCCAGGCTCCCTCTCGTGTGTGAAGGCTCTGCAGCTAATGTGAGTCATGCCCTTTTCCGTTACTCCTCCTCATGTGCCTTGTTCTATTGCTTCCTTTCCCCATGGCTCCCATTCTCACGGTCTTTTAACCCCCCCCACCAGCATGACATAACAACTCTCTCAGCATTCCTCCTCTCTCTCTCTCTCCCCAACCCCGTGCCCCCAGTGACCTACGCAACAACTCTCTCACCGGCTCAATCCCATCTCAGATCGGCTCCCTCTCAAAACTCATCTGGCTGTGAGTCCCTATGTGTGCCTTGAGTCAGCTCAAAACACAACCCCTACCTCGATCTGCCCCAAAGGCCTACGCAACAACTCCCTCACCGGCTCAATCCCATCTGAGATCGGATCTCTCTCTAAACTTATCTGGCTGTGAGTCGTGGTTTGGTTGTGAGTCGTCGTTTGGCTGTGAGTCGTCGTTTGGCTGTGAGTCGTCGTTTGGCTGTGAGTCGTCGTTTTGCTGTGAGTCGTGGTGTGGCTGTGAGTTGTCGTTTGGCTGTGAGTTGTCGTTTGGCTGTGAGTCGTCGTTTGGCTGTGAGTCGTGGTGTGGCTGTGAGTCGTCGTTTGGCTGTGAGTCGTCGTTTGGCTGTGAGTCGTCGTTTGGCTGTGAGTCCTCGTTTGGCTGTGAGTCCTCGTTTGGCTGTGAGTCGTGGTGTGGCTGTGAGTCGTCATTTGGCTGTGAGTCGTCATTTGGCTGTGAGTCGTCGTTTTGCTTTGAGTCGTCGTTTTGCTTTGAGCGTCATTTGGCTGTGAGTCGTCATTTGGCTGTGAGTCGTCATTTGGCTGTGAGTCGTCATTTGGCTGTGAGTCGTCATACCTGAGCAACAATAAGGTCTCGGGCTCTCTGCCATCCACCATGGGCCAATTCTCCCGCCTGACTTGATCCATGGGCACTCACATCACAGCAACCCATGCCTGACTTGAATTGACCCATGCACCTCAATCCTGGCCGCTTGCATGTCATTCCCTCTCTATCTATTTCGTCCCATCAGGTACCTGAGCAACAATAAGATCTCAGGCTCTCTGCCATCCACTATGGGAAAGCTCTCTCGACTGAGATATTTGTATGTCTGCCACTCACCCCTGCTTTTGAGTCTACTCAAAAGCAGACCCTGCTTTCTCTTGACCACTATTCAGATATTTGTATGTCTGCCACTCACCCCCCCACCTCTTTTCCCTCCTCTTTCCTCCGTCCTCTCATCACCATCGTCTTTTCACCCTCCGCTCTTCACCCTCCTCTTTTCACTCTCACTTCTTCGGTCCCACTCCCACTCTCATTGTCATCTTTCTCTGTCCAATGGCTATCAACCCTCCTTCCCACCCATCTGTCCCCCTTTCATTTGCTCCTATTTCACCCCTCTCTCTCCCCTCCTGCAGTTTCGCAAACGCCAACTCTCTCTCAGGATCCATCCCAGCCACCGTATCCAGCCTCCTCTCCCTCAGCTACCTGTGCGTGCTGCCCTCAACTCAACTACATACATGTGCCTAGAGCCCTCAGCTACCTACGTGTGTGCACCGCCCTCGGTTTAAGGGATGCATTAGAGCCGTCAAACCTCCCTCTCGGGGTCCATCCCAGCCACCGTATCCAGCCTCCTCTCCCTCACCTACCTGTCCGTGCCGCCTGCCCTTTGTTCAAGAGATGACTCTTGAGTCAACTTGCCTTCTCAGGCCTCTCAGCATCTTTGTCCTCTCAGGGTCCATCCCAGCCACCGTGTCCAGCCTCCTCTCCCTCACGTACCAGTGTGTACTGCCCCCAACCACCTGTGCATTCAGCCTCCCTCTCTCCAGGCCTCGAACACAAATTTGGCTGTCTCTGTGTCTTTCTCACCGCATTCAACCGAGTCAAACCTTTCCCACACCAGCTCTGCGTGCTCCAACCAGATCTCAGGCCCCTTCCATTCCAGCATCGCTACCTAGCCCTTCATCGCCTGCCTTTGTGTTGTTCTCACCGCATCCAACCGAGTTCAACCTCTCCCACCCGCATTCCACCAGCTCCGCCAGTGGCAACCAGCTCTCAGGCTCCCTTCCTGCTAACATCACTGCCCTGTCCAAACTCGGCTTCCTGTAAGTTATTGCTGCACGAGAGCAACTTTTGAGAATTCTCAAAAGTCACACCACCACAACCCTCCCTTCCTGCTAACATCACTACCCTGTCCAAACTCGGCTTCCTGTAAGTTATCACTGCGAAAGAGCGCCCTATTCAAGTGTTACTGCTCCATTAAACAGAATGGTTTCGATTTCCCCGCCTTCAGCTCTCCTCTATTCACAATCTTGGCTTCCTAAACAAGCGAACAAACAAGAACGTACACTTACGTACTGAAAGCAAGCTTGCCACTGATGTTGACTTTTGAGTCGACTCAAAAAACAAACAAGAACGCACACTTCCATACTGAAAGCAAGCTCACCACTGATGTTCTTCCCATTTCCAATACATCCCATCTATATGTGTAACTGGGGCAACATTCTAACTTCAGTTCAAAGTCGCGTCCTACTTCCATTCCATTCCATGCATGAACTTCACATGCCCCTCTCTACCCTTCTTCTTCACATGCCCCTCTCTACTTGCAGGCAGCTCGATCATAACGCCCTCTCGGGCTCCCTGCCAGAGAACATGACTTCTCTCACCAACATGGTGTACCTGTGAGTGTAATCACGGATGCATGTGCATTCATGGATGGTTGATACTCACGGAGTTATCATGTCTACATCCCTATGTTTGGTAGCAACGCCCTCTCAGGCTCCCTGCCAGAGAACATGACTTCTCTCACCAACATGGTGTACCTGTGAGTGCATTCGTACCTGTGAGTGCATTCGTACCTGTGAGTGCATTCGTACCTGTGAGTGCATTCGTACCTGTGAGTGCATTCGTACCTGTGAGTGCATTCGTACCTGTGAGTGCATTCGTACCTGTGAGTGCATTCGTACCTGTGAGTGCATTCGTACCTGTGAGTGCATTCGTACCTGTGAGTGCATTCGTACCTGTGAGTGCATTCGTACCTGTGAGTGCATTCGTACCTGTGAGTGCATTCGTACCTGTGAGTGCATTCGTACCTGTGAGTGCATTCGTACCTGTGAGTGCATTCGTACCTGTGAGTGCATTCGTACCTGTGAGTGCATTCGTACCTGTGAGTGTATCATGCATCTACGGTTGAACTGATATCTGTGCTGATGTGTTTACTTATGCTTAGTGTTATGCAGTGCTCATTTGCTTACTTTTTCCTGCTCTCCTCCTCCACCGTCTCTTCTCTCCTTCTCCTGCCCTTCACCTGTCTCCGTTTTGCCCATCTCAACCCCAACTCCCCCTCTCCCCTCCCAGGAACCTCTCTTACAATGCTCTCTCAGGCACGCTGCCTTCCTTCTGTGTTGAGTTTTTCAGCCAACCTTCACTCCCTCGTTTCCTCCCCCCATCGTCTCTCTCAACCCCCTCTGCTCCCTTCCCAGGGACCTCTCTTACAATGCTCTCTCAGGCACGCTGCCTTCCTTCTGTGTTGAGTTTTTCAGCCAACCTTCACTCCCTCGTTTCCTCCCCCCATCGTCTCTCTCAACCCCCTCTGCTCCCTTCCCAGGGACCTCTCTTACAATGCTCTCTCAGGCACGCTGCCTTCCTTCTGTGGCAGTGCCATGTCTAATCTACACACCGTGTGAGTATATCCCTCTGGCCATCTCAGTCAACTCATGCACCATCTCTCCGTCCTCTCTCTGCCTCCTCCCTTGCCCCATCCACTCCTCTCTCTGCATTGATCTATCAGACAATGCCCACGTGGAACGTCTGCCCTCTAACCTCGCCTACTGCAGAATTCATTCTCGAGAATTCTCAGCAATCGCTGGGGCCCTCTGGCATTGCCAACTGCACCGCCATTTCTGAGGCGCCTCAAAAGCCATCTGAGTCGGCCTTCACACCACCACTCCAGCCTTCACACCACCTCTCCTCCCCTTCCTTTTTCCCTCTCTGCAGCGATCTCTCCGACAATGCATTGGTGGGATCGCTGCCCTCTGGCCTGGCCAACTGCTCCACCCTCATCAACCTGTGAGCACCCCTGTTCCCTTATTGTTTTGGAATAACACTGGGGCACCTAAAGACAATGCATTGGTGAGATCGCTTCCCTCTGCCCTTGCCAACTGCTCCACGCTCATCAACCTGTGAGCGCCTCTTATCCTTGGGTGAACAATCCCAAAGCACTGCCAATTGAGCGATTCAAAGACAACCAAACAAAGAAACGATCTTTGTCAACAACTGCTGCATCCTTCTGAACTTGTGAGCGCCTCTGCATCAGAACCTCATTTCTGTGCAGTAGACACTTATGAGACGTCTCAAAAGTCGCCTCTGCACAAGAACCTCATTCTTCTGCGGTTAGACCTCAGTCATCTCGTTCTCCTACTCAGTACTCAGTAATCAGTACTCACCAACCTCTCCCTCCACTCTTCCCTTCTCTTCCCGCCCCTCTCCGTCTCCTCCACCTGCCATCATCTCCCCCCACCCCCAGCCCCCATCCGCTCCCACTCCCTCCCCCAGCGATCTCAGCAACAACGCCCTGAGTGGCCGCATTGACACCATACCTTCCACTCCAACCTCTCTTCCTTCTCCTCCCTCTTCCCCATTCACTGCTCGCGCCATCATCACCTTCCCCCCTTCCCCACGTCCCTCCCCCAGCGATCTGAGCAACAACGCCCTGAGTGGCCGCAATGACACCATACTCTCCACTCCAAACAACCTCTCCTCCCTTCTCTCCACAAACCATCGTCCTCACATCCCCATCCTCCCCCTCTCCCCCATCTGCCCGCACAGTGATCTCAGCAACAATGCCCTGAGTGGCCGCATAGACACCATACTCTCCAACCTCTCCTCCCTCTCCTCACTGTATGTACCCGCTGCCTCACATTAATCGACTCTTGACTCGTCTCAGGCAGTATGCTATGTCGACAAAAACATCCTCTCTCTCTCTCCTCTCTGTATGTATCCAGTTAGGATCTATTGCTCTTGATTCAGTTTCTTTTTTTTTTTTACATAAACTTCCGCGGTTGGGGGTGCCCTCCCTCCCCTCCCTCCCCTCACTCCCCTTTATTGCCCCCCCCCCCCCCCCCCCCCCTTTTCCCTCTCTTTCTATGTCCTTTCTGCCTACCCCTCCCCCCGCCCTCTGTCCCGCTGTATCCCTCTCCCCCACCAGTAACCCATCTTGCAACTACTTCAATGGTGGACCGCCCTCCTTCCCCACCCTACCCCATGTTGACCTATCTATCCCCACTTTCTCTGTACCCCCAACACCCTCTTCCCCACCCCACCCCCCATCCACCAGTAACGTATCTCGCAACTACTTCAGTGGTGGGCTGCCCTGCCTCCCTCGATTGACCTCGCACTCCCTGCTCCCTCTACATTCCCCACCTCCTCTCCCCCATACCCTCTCCTCCACCCCTTCTCCCCCACCAGTAACCTATCTCGCAACTACTTCAGTGGTGGACTGCCCTCCCTCCCCTCCACAGAGCAGATCCCAACCGTCGATCTCACCCACAACTTCTTCTACGGCCCGGGCCACATAACAGACAGCCAAGGCCGCCCGCTCTGCCAGTCCGCCGACCGGACGCTCGCCCTGGGCGGCAACTGTGTCGTTTTCGACGCTACTCTCGCCCCGCTTTGCTCGTCTGAAGTGCAGAAAGAAGCGAACGCCTGCAAGCTGTTCTGCTCCACGAATATGACCTCTTCGGGAAGGTTTCAGGAGAATGCGCAGTGTGGCGGGCTGGGCACGTGTGAGGCTGTGGTTGCAAGTGCTGGGGCTGGTGGAGTAGTTGGTGGCGCTAGTGGTGCTGCTGCTGGTGGTGTTGGTGGTGGACTTGGCGGCAACAGCAACAGCAGCAGCAGCAAGAAGGGTGGGAAAGCTGGTAGTAGCACGACCACCAGCAAGAGAGGCAGCAAGGGTGGCAGTAAGAGTGGGAAGCAGAGCAGCACAGCAGCAGCAGCATCAAAAGCAGCGGCAGTGGATACTGGGAGAGTGACCTTTGCATGCAACTGCCCGGCTGATATTGCCTTGCCAACCCCAGACGGCATGTCCTGTGCTATTATCGGTGAGTTCTCTTATCAATGAGAGCTATTTAGACCACTAACTACCACTCGCAACACCTCGGTGCAAACACCATGTGCGCCCAGTCTCTTTTCACGCGTCCCTTCAAGGCTGCAGTTTCGGTTCCTTAAGCGCCTGTCTTTTTGCCGTCAGTCATGAAGACTGGGAGAGCTGCAGTTTAGGAAGATTCTTTAGCAGAAGAAAACTGTTCACGCGTCACTTCAAGGCTGTAGTTTCGATTCCTTAAGCGCCCCTCCGATAACCTGTTTTCAAGCCCGTAGGAAACTCGCATGCATTGAGGTGATTTTTAAGGCGCCTCAAAAACTACGTCACTCCAAGGCTGTAGTTTCAATTCATTTGGCGCCTGTATCTCAGCCAGTTTCCAAGCCCGTAGAAACTATGCTCCCAAGCCTGATGGTCTAATCTGTTTCCAAGCCTCTTAAGACTGTGTCGATTGTTAGGTGCCTCAATTATCGCCTCTGAAGGCTGTGTCCCCAAGATTCTCATTTTGTTTCGTCCTTACTGACTCTCCCACTAAACCCACCTTGACTCTTTCATATGTCATTTTCATCCTTACTACATCTTCCACTTATCCACCCCTTGCAAATCCCCCCATTTCCCCCTTGTGTGTGTGCTCTTCTCTCCTCTCCTTCCCACTCCTTCCCTCTCCTTCCCTCTCCTCTCCTCTCCTCTCCTCCCCTCTCCTCTCCCCTCTTCCCACCCCACTGCAGCCAAGCCTCCCCCACCACCGTCTCCCCCAAGCCCACCTCCTCGACCCCCCCCTCGCCCCCCTCGCCCTCCCCCTAATCCTCCCCCTCAGCCTCCCCCCAGCCCTCCCTTTAGTCCTCCCCCTCAACCTCCCCCTAGTCCTCCCCCTAGCCCACCTCCCCCCAACCCTCCCCCAAACCCTCCCCCTCAACCTCCCCCCAGCCCTCCCCCAAGCCCCCCTCCTAACCCCCCTCCCCCCAGCCCACCTCCCCCTAACCCTCCCCCAAATCCACCCCCTCAACCGCCCCCCAGCCCTCCTCCTAGCCCTCCCCCAAGTCCCCCTCCTAGCCCCCCTCCCCCTAGCCCACCACCACCCAACCCTCCCCCCAGCCCTCCCCCTAATCCTCCCCCTCAACCTCCCCCTAGCCCTCCACCTAACCCCCCTCCCCCTAGCCCACCTCCCCCCAACCCTCCCCCCAGCCCACCCCCCAGCCCTCCACCTAATCCCCCTCCCCCTAGCCCACCTCCTCCCAGCCCTCCCCCTAGCCCTCCCCCTCAACCTCCCCCCAGCCCTCCCCCTAATCCTCCCCCTCAACCTCCCCCCAGCCCACCCCCAAGCCCCCCACCTAACCCCCCTCCCCCTAGCCCACCTCCCCCTAGCCCTCCCCCAAATCCCCCCCCTCAACCTCCCCCCAGCCCTCCCCCCAGCCCTCCCCCTAATCCTCCCCCTCAACCTCCCCCCAGCCCACCCCCAAGCCCCCCACCTAACCCCCCTCCCCCCAGCCCACCTCCCCCTAGCCCTCCCCCAAATCCACCCCCTCAACCGCCCCCCAGCCCTCCTCCTAGCCCTCCCCCAAGTCCCCCTCCTAGCCCCCCTCCCCCTAGCCCACCACCACCCAACCCTCCCCCCAGCCCTCCCCCTCAACCTCCCCCCAGCCCTCCCCCTAATCCTCCCCCTAATCCTCCCCCTCAACCTCCCCCAAGCCCACCCCCAAGCCCCCCACCTAACCCCCCTCCCCCTAGCCCACCTCCCCCTAGCCCTCCCCCTAATCCTCCCCCTCAACCTCCCCCAAGCCCACCCCCAAGCCCCCCACCTAACCCCCCTCCCCCTAGCCCACCTCCCCCTAGCCCTCCCCCAAATCCCCCCCCTCAACCTCCCCCCAGCCCTCCCCCAAGCCCCCCTCCTCATCCCCCTCCCCCTAGCCCACCTCCCCCCAGCCCTCCCCCTCATCCTCCCCCTCAACCTCCTCCCAGCCTCCCACCTAGTCCTCCCCCTAAACCTCCCCCCAGCCCTCCCCCAAACCCCCCACCCAATCCCCCTCCCCCTAGCCCACCTCCCCCAAGCCCACCTCCTAGCCCCCCTCCCACTTCAACCCTACAGCTTCAATCAACCACCCCTAATAGTCCACCCCCCTCACCACCACCATCATCACCCTCTCCTCCTCCCTACTCCCCGCCTCCCCCCAGCCCACCTTCCCCCTCGCCTCCCCCTCCTCCTCCCCCTTCACCCTCGCCTCCCCCTCCTCCTCCCCCTTCACCCTCGCCTCCCCCTCCTCGTCCCCCTTCACCCCCCCCTCCCCCCAGTCCACCACCGCCCCCACCCCCGCCGAATTTGTGCATGTGGAATGGAAGCAAATGGATTTGCCCGCCGGGTCAGGGTGCACCTACTTGGTCGCCTAGAGTCTAAACTAGTATACATAATTTTATTGCTTTTAATATATGGACCAGTCGACATCCACACTTCTTTGTGAGGCGTTTCGTAACTGGCTCGTATGAGTGGAAGGCAAACTCAATCGGAACCTTTGAAGGCTTGGTGCCATCAACTTGTGGATTTGCATTGTGGACTTACTAACATACCGGTACCCTACTTTTTGAGCTTTTAAGAGCGTGTTCATACACCTCGTATCAGAAACACCTCGTATCAGCTTCGCGTGATGAAATACGTTACAGTACGTTCGACTGCGTTAGAATGCGTTTAAGTGCGGTTCGACGCGAATCTGATACGAGGTCCCTGATACGAGGCCGTAGGAGCACGCTATAAGATTATGTGTCCCCTACATCTTATGTGGGTACACTATTTACGGAGCTACACAGAGGTTGACAGGTGCGCGCACGAGCATTCTTGAAACATCTGAACAGCTGGCACCACACTCGACCGTGCTTGATGCCTAATTCACCGCACGCGATAAAGTACTCCAATGATGCACTCATAAAATGGCCTCGTTTGGTCCACCCTTCGCTTCACCTCGGTTGTGTTTGCTTTCACAATCACGCATGGCTGCCACTCCAAACCAAGCAAGCAACATTCTCCAAGTACTGCCGTTGCGCCTCGTATGTTCACGATTGACAGCCACAACCGCTGGAGTTCGTAATTATAAGAAGTGGACTCCTGGTTCCGAGCTTTTTCTTATCCATCTCGTCAGCCGTCGATTTTTTTATTTTTTTTTATGCTGGTAGTGCCTCTGGTCTGGCTAGTATGATATCATTCGCTTATTTGCAAGATGTGCAAAACTGCGTTATCGAAGTATGTCAAGCGTGCAACCCCGAAGTGCTTCCTCTTTCCGACATTTCATTCTTCTTAACTCGAGGCCCGGTTCTCATCGCTTCATTCGTCCTGGAAGAACTCAGCTCAGATGCTAGATCGTTATTTGCCTCATTACGACGTCGCGTAGACTAACGATTCCAGTCATTCCTGAAATTTAAGTGCTGTTGGTGTTTTCGACACATCATGATTAACAAGAAGCTATACCTCCAATCTAATTCTGTTCACGCAACTCACGAATCTCAACGACAACTCTCACAGCAACACACGTCTGATAAGAGATTTTTGGACGCTATTTTACTGCTCTCTATCAAGCTCTTCTCATTTGTGGATTTGTGGAACTCTGCTCTATCAACCTCTAGCAACGAATTCTCTGCTCTCTATGAAGTTCTGAAGGTTTGATGGCTCGTGAGAATATATGGTAACAGAGTCTGCCTGTACCGTTCACGAAATGCCAGAACCTTCGCATGGTGTCTTCTCGAGGGATGCTGTTTTCATCCACAATAACCTGAAAATTCGGAAGTGCTTTGCGGTAGGAGAGCACCTTATCTTCTTTTTTGTCTTCGCTTTTTTCAGAAGCAAATATGTCAGCTTTGACACATACCATCGACAAAGTCGCAGAGAAAACAGAACACCTTTTCGGGCAGCTTTGCCACGGGCAACCTCTCTCACATTTCGCATTTCAACCTCAGCTCACCCCGATGTTGACGAACCCCGACTCTGACGAGCCTCGTTCAGGTTGACCTATTTCCCCATTTTTTTGTTCAGTTTTTCACCTTTTCCTTTGACGTTATTTCTGGTTGTGTTCGTAGTGGCAATGGCTAAGCACAGAGATAGGGATACCCCAACGAGACACGTGCATCCACCACGTGTCCTCGGCTCCGCCAATCACGACACAGACAACGAGTCTGGCGGCGGCGGCGCGGCCGCATCCGGCGGCAGCGGATTTGGCCGGCACCGGCCACCGCGGGACGCGGGGGGTGAAAGAGTACGGTTTAGATCGGTTCAGGGAGAGGGAGAGCGAGACAAAGAGAGGGACAGAGAGAGAGACAGGGAACGGGAAAAATCAGGAGAGAGAGAAAAGGATCGGGACAGGGATAGAGATAGAGATAGGGAGCGGGAGCGAGAGCGGGAGAAAGGGCACAAGGGCCGCGCCGCGGATAAGGTAACAAGCGAGGGAGGAATAAGCGACAGCGAGAGAGGCCGCGACGCGAAATGGGAGGAGCGCGGCGAGGAGTCGCAGAGTCTGCGCATGGGGGATGGCAGCGGCGCGTTTGGCGGCGAGAAGGACGGCCATGTGGGCGGGTCGAGCGTCCCCAGTGCGGAGCGATCGCGACGGCAGGTCAGGCCGCGATTGGTCGGGCAGATCGGGCGAGATGGACGGTCAAGATTCAACAAATCGAAAGACGGGTGTGTATTTCCTTCGCTATGGACACTCTTGTTAGTGTATATCTCCCTACAGCTCTCGAACATCTACAAGAAACCTTCGTTTAGTCACACGAACCTTTCATCTTCTTTCCAGCCTTCCGTCTCCCCAACCCCCCATTACCCTCTCTTCCCCCTCTCTCGCATACCACCTTCCGCGCTTCCCCTATTCTCCCCTACCCCTCCTCCCCTTCCCTCCCACCCTACAGCACAGCACTAGCCACCAGGCCTCCGCCGCTCTTCCCGTACTGCGAGTGCGAGGGCATGCGGGAGCTCTCCAAGCTGCTTCAGTGCTGCGTCATAACAAGCCACTGCCCCTGCCCCTGCCACTGCCCCTGCCCCTGCCACTGCCCCTGCCCCTGCCCCTGCCCCTGCCCCTGCCCCTGCCCCTGCCCCTGCCCCTGCCCCTGCCCCTGCCCCTGTAGCCACCCTTCCACTCACTAACCAACCACTCCTCACTCTCTTCACCCCCTCTCTCTCACCCTCCCGGTTTTCCTTCTTTTTCTTCCCGGATCCTCCATCCCAACCCCCATCCCAACCCCCATCCCAACCCCCATCCCAACCCCCATCCCAACCCCCATCCCAACCCCCATCCCAACCCCCATCCCAACCCCCATCCCAACCCCCATCCCAACCCCCATCCCAACCCCCATCCCAACCCCACCGTTAACCCCCCACCACCACTGCAGCACAGCACAAGCTGCCGAGCCTCCACCCCTGTTTCCGTACCGAGAGGGCGAGGGCATGCCGGACCTCTCCAAGCTGCTTCGGCACTCCGACTGCCCCTCCCACTGCCCTCCTGCCTCCTCCGACCTCCCTGCTTCTTCCTCTGCTGCTGCTGGTGGTGCCGCTGCTGGTGACGCTGGTGATGCTGGTGGTGGGAAAGGGGGGGTTGTGGTGGAAGGAGACGGAGGAGGTGACAAGGAGGCGGGCGATGAAGGAGGGAAGAATGACTTTATGGACCATGATGGCCCTGCTGCTGCTGCAACTGATGGTGCTGGTGCTGCTTCTGCTCATGCTTCTGCTGCTGCTGACACCAGTGGCCCTTTGCCTGTAGCAGCAGCAGCAGCAGCAGCAGGGGCGTATCAGCAGCAGCCAGCAGTGGAGATCTCGGTGCCGCCCGAATCTATCACCACTGCCAACCGCCAGGTGCGGTCGCGGCAGCTGTGGGGCACGGACGTGTATACTGACGACTCGGACATTGTCGCAGGTATGTTACATGTAACATACTTATGCTCGGCTGAAGGAAACGAGGAGGGAACATGCATATATTTCTTAGGCAGCTGTGGGGCACGGACATGTATACTGACGACTCGGACATTGTCGCAGGTATGGTACAACACGTACCACTTGTTTATCTGTAACACACCTCCCCCCGTCACTCCCTGTTAATTCTATCTTTGTCCCTCCCTGTTATGAAGCATTCGAGACACATCTCGCCCATTTCTGTGGCTCCACGTGCACTTAATGCCTGGTCCCACCTGCACTGCACCCAATGCCTGGTCAATCAACCGCTCCTCCCCTACCCCTTCCCACCTCTCTACCAACCCTCCTTATTTCTCCTGCTATCTTACAGTGCTGATGCATGTGGGATACATCACGCCCGTCTCAGTGCCCCCACCAGCATCCATAGCTGAGCTCCGAGCAACCATTCGCGTGCTGCCACCTCAGCCCTGTGAGTCATGCCACCTCAGCGCTTTTACCTTGTGCCACCTCGGATTTATGGCTTGCCACGGCAGCCTCTCCTGTTAACCTTGCCTGGCTTGCCACGTCAGTCAGTTTGAAATATATCAAAAATCACCTCATGCTATATATTTTCCAGGGCCCGCTTCCCGTCCCGCCTCGCTCCCAGCCTACCGCCCCTCCTCGCGCACCAGTATGAGGTTACGGGCATGGGGGTCAGTTTTGAGTCGGTCTGAAACTCAGCTTTCCTCTATGTGATCTGTTTCCCTACCACTCTCCCCTTCCTCCCAGCCTACCGCTCCTCCTCGCGCACCAGTATGAGGTTACGGACATGGGGGTCAGTTTTGAGTCGGTCTGAAACTCAGCTTTCCTCTATGTGATCTGTTTCCCTACCACTCTCCCCTTCCTCCCAGCCTACCGCTCCTCCTCGCGCACCAGTATGAGGTTACAGGCATGGAGGTCAGTTTTGAGTCGACCCTAAACCCTAAACTCACCTCATATGATCCGTTTCTTTGCCCCTTTCCTACCCCTTCATTCAGCCTACCGCTCCTCCTCGCGCAACAGTATGAGGTCGAGGGCATGGGGCTCAGGCAAGGGCACATGCAGCTATGCCGTGGAAAGCTGCAGAATCATCAAGGTACCTCTCGTTTATGAATTATCTTTACAAAGCAGCTCCAGCTACAAATCAACTGAAAGGTTATTTGCAGCAGCATCAACGCATGTGTCTGTAGGCTTTGCACGCACGCGCACATGCGTGACGCCATGAGTCAGTTGACTCCAAAGCCAACTTTCTCAAGTATCAGGGCACCTGTCGCTTGATGAGTCTATTTTTGAGTCGACTCAATAATAGACTAATCACACGCGCACATGCGTGACGCCATGGGTCGGTCAACTCCAAAGCCAACTTGCAAGTATCGAGGCACCTGTCGTTTCGTTTTAGCCTCTGCCCGGGCTCGAGAACAGAAATTGTGCTGTTTGCCTTGCACTTTTGTCCTGGGATGCCAAACCAAGCCAGTCCAAGCCAAGCCAGTCCAAGCAAAGCCAGTCCAAGCCAAGCCAGTCCAAGCCAAGCCAGTCCAAGCCATGCCAGTCCAAGCCAAGCCAGTCCAAGCCAAGCCAGTCCAAGCCAAGCCAGTCCAAACCAAGCCAGTCCAAACCAAGCCAGTCCAAGCCAAGCCAGTCAATATATGTTGTTATAACTCATGCCATGATGACATGTGGCAGCTTCGAATGTAAATGTTTGAATCGATTGCCCCATCCTCCCGCTCCACCTCTCCCCCCTTCTCCCTCATGGTGCAGCAAGACGGCACCAGCATCGACCTGGAAGCTTCCTCTGCCCGCACGCCCCCAGTGGGGCCCACTCTTGTGCCCGCAGCAGTGGAGCGCACCATGACCACTCGTGCATCTGCCTCCGTGCGGGTACGTGCAATGGGGACTCATGTAGAATGCACTCCTGTGCACTCCTTTACATCACACACCTGGAAGCTTCCTCTGCCCGCGCGCCCCCGGTGGGCCCCACGCTCGTGCCCGCAGCAGTGGAGGGCACCATGACCACCCGCGCCTCCGCCTCCGTGTGGATACGTGTGAAGGGAAAGCCCTGTTTGTGCATCTTTTTTTTGGTGCCACGACTCACACCACTCGTTCCCAGAACGGTCGAGCGCACCATGACCACCCGCGCCTCCTCCTCCGTGCGGGTACGTGTGACTGATACATTCATGATTCCGTGCGGGTACATGGCGGTGCGTGCATAGTGCATGCATATAGCACCTACAGAGTGCATACCAATTAACTGCTCTTACCTAAATCTGTTATCTTGTGCCCCACTGTTGCTGATCCTCCCCCTCCACCAATCAGAATGCGCACAGGCACCAGCGCTTTGTGCAAGAAGTGACTCTACAGTACAACCTCTGTAACGAGCCCTGGTGAGTCTACACAGTGGGCGACCAGCCCTGGTGAGTGCACTGTCAATCCACATGCCCTAGGAACGCATGTCACATCGCATGGCAAGAGGTCACTCTGCAGTACAACCTCTGCAATGAGCCCTGGTGAGTCAACACAGTCAATCTACATGCCCTAGGGACGCATGGCAGGTTGCATGGGACATAGCATGGCAGATCGCATGGCAAGAAGTGACTCTGCAGTACAACCTCTGCAACGAGCCCTGGTGAGTCACCCTCCCCGCCCTGCCTCGCCCTGCCCGCCCTGCCCTCTCTCCTTTCTCCACCACCCCACCCTGCCCTCTCTCTTTTCCCACCCCAAACCATTTTGTCAGGCTCAAGTATTCCATGGCAATTATTGCCGGGCATGGGCTGAAGCGGCCTCAATACACAGCGCTTCTTTTCCCAGCCCTCCCCGCCCTGCTCTCTCTCTCTCCCCTCCCCCACCCAAACCCACCACCTCGCTCAAGTATTCAATGGCGATAATCGTCGACCACTGGCTGAAGCGGTCTCACCAGTACAACAACACTGAGTTTCTTTCCCCGCCCAACCCACCCTAACTCTCTTTCTCTCCCCCCTCTTTCTCTCCCCACCCAAACCCACCACCAGGCTCAAGTATTCGATGGCGATTATTGCAGATCACGGGCTGAAACGGCCTCAGTTCACCTCAGCACGGCTCAAGCGGGCCGAAGTGCTGTACCTGGAAACAGCCACGCACAGGTTGGTGGGTGGGGCCCACTTTTAGGCACTTTCTGAGCGGTTACAGCTTTAAATGGGCCTTTTGAAATAGCGGCCTCAGTACACGTCAGATTTGAGTTGAGCAATTCTTTGCACTTGGTGGCTCTTTTCGAGTCCGGTTCTCACTTGCCCGTTCCTCCCTCCACACCCTTGCAGGTTTGAGTTGAGCTACGAGCCTGTGTCCGCACGCAAGGTCTTCTACTCTGTAGCGCTTTCGCAAGCCCAGCAGCAGCAGCAGATGCAAGCCCACACTATGCCACTTGATGCTGCTAATGCCAAGGCTGATGGGGCTGCTGCTGCTGCTGGTGATGGTGGTGCTGCTGCGGATGCTGGTGCTGGTGGTGTGGTGAGGGAGGGAGGGGTAGATGCTGGAGGGGACAAAGAGGGGCAAGGTGGGCGAGCGGGAGAGAGGAACGAAAGAGAGAAGGGGGCAGCAGAGGAGGGAGAGGGAGCCGAGGGGTCTGATAAGGGAGCGAAGGAGAAGCAAAGGGAGGGAGGATCGGAGAGCAAAGCAGCAGACGGGGAAGGGAAAGAGCACCCAGAAGCACCAGCTCACCCCCCTTCCAAGGCACATACAAGCAGCGCTGCAGCAGCCAATGCTGCAAACGCTAACTCTCCCAACACAAACAGCACCTCGGCTGCCCCCTCTTCAGCAGCAGCAGGAACAGCAGCAGGGGGCAGCCTGAGTGGCTCGAAACGACCCTTCTCTCTCTTCTCCTCTCCTTCCGGGATCCTAGGCACCAACAACACCAATCCTGAAACGCAGTGGATTCTGCCTCAAAGTGCGTTGGCGCACCTGCATGGGAAGGGCAAGGGGCCGAGAGACACGTACCGGTGGACCCAGTGTGTTCCTCCTCTCCCTCTCGACCAGCTTCGCTCCCACGGCTGCCCTCTCCCTGCTGCCTTCACCAAGGTACGCCCGTAGAGTTCCAGTGGGTTGTTACATTTGAGAATTCTGATGTTACTTTTGAGAATTCTTTTGAGGGCCCTGCCGCCTTCACTAATGTACGCCTTTAGAATCCCAGTGGGTTGTGCCCTTGCTCTTGCTCGTCCCAGACCCCCTTCTTCTGTTTCAGGTCCCCAAGAGTGACTTTTGAGTTTTGAGGCGCCTCAAAAGGCATCTGGAGGCTGCTCGGACACTCATCTGCCCGTGCTCTAGCTCTTCCCACACCCCTTCTTCTGTTTCAGATCCTGGAGTCTGGCCTGGCATGGGGCAAGGTGCAGTGGGCGTCTGGAGGGGTGTGTGGGCGCATTGGGGGCTGCTAGGTCACTCATCTGCCCTTGCTCTTGCTCTTCCCACACCCGCTTCTCTTGCTTTTGCTCTTTCCAGGTCCTTGAAAGTGCCCTGGCGTGGGACGAGGTGCAGTGGGCACCTGGGGGGGTGTGGGTGAGGGGGTTGCATTACCCTGTGGTCAGGGCCCACTTCATGCCTCGCAAATCCTTCTCCTCTCGTTAGCTCCTGCTGTCGCTCTTACAAGCATTTTGGTGTAATTGCGATATACACCCTGGGCTGCATTACCCTGATGCCAATAGAGCCCCTTCGTGCTGTGATGTTAAGGGCAGGTTCCTATACACACCTCTTGCCAGACTGGTGCGGTTGAGTGTGATGAAGTGTGTTTCAGTGCAATGCAATGCGACACGGGGAGTCTGAAAAGGAGGTTCGTCGGAAAGAGTGTTCCAGAGTGCTCACCACTATGCATTACCCTGCATTACCCTGTGTTTACCACCTCATTCTCCTTCCTGAAGGAACACAATCATCCTAGTAACCATTTCAAGCATGCCTGGCATGGATCCAGACTTCACATCACACTCCATCCAAGCAGCTTCTCTCAATGCAGCACTAACATACTGAACCGCTCTAAACAACTTTTTTCCTCAATCCCCAAAGAACACAAACTACTCAGACCAACATTTCAGACCAGCAAAGCAAAGCATCCAATTCAAAGTAGCCATCTACCACCACCCAACTAGTACCGTACTACTAAGTCCCAACTATCACACCCAACCCAACTATGACTGGCTGGGCTGCACATGGGACGTGCACAGCGAAAGTCCACTACCCAATCTCCAACCCGGGAAGCTTACTACGGTACTCCCATCCCACTCTTCAAGTCAGTCACTCTTCACAAAACATCAGTCGAGCATTGGGCAGCTGGGCTGCAGGTGCAGTGCAGCGCGGCTGTCAGTTCACAACGCTGCAGGAGCGGCGGATCTCGCCCTGCTGGCCCGTGAGCACGCCGAACGCGCCCATGCGAATCATGGAGAGGTGGAAGTGGCGGAAGAATGCCTTCTTGTCCGCCGCGAATTGGTCCACCAGCTCCTTGGTGCGCGGATCGATCGCCAGCACCTGGTCGCTCGTCAGCAGCCCGAACTTGCGCTGAAGATTCTTGAAATACTGCGGCGATGTGAGGAGGATACGATAGGGAGGAGTGAGTAGAAATTGCAATTTCAAATATTTAATCCCATGTTGGAACCAAGAAGCAAAAATTATATATATTTCAGCGGAGCGGGTGCATCGACAAAATTGAATTATGTTACGCGGCATGCATTGTCGAGGGAACACGGGTTACCGTTACCTATGTGGGTTTTCTCACGTGGTTGTCGAATCGCGCGGCGCTGTGGATGTCAAGGACCATGGAGATCTTGCTGTCGACATTAGGAGCCTTGCAATGACTCTTGAGAAACTGGCGCATCGGCCTCGCGAGCGTGTCATCGCGGTTGGGCGCGAGGCGGTGCGCGACTTTGTCGCAGCTCGACTCGCCGATGGTGTGCGCGCCGGAGAGCGCCACGAGGTCGCCGAGGGTGAGGTTGACCGCGGCGAAGTTTCGGAGAAGCTCGTTCACGTTCATCTGGTGGCCCGGCAGGCGCTTCACCGCAAGAGCTGCCTTCGAGGAACGCGAATCGCGGCGGCCAAGCTGCATCCTCATGTACGGCCCGCCGGCCTGCATCAGCGTGGCGCACATGAGTGTTGAGTAGCGTCACGGTGTATTTCCGTCGATTTTGTGACATTTGTGCGAAGTCAATCGAAAATGTGACATTTTCCGGAATTGAGGGAAAGACAAAGATGTTTTTTTTTTTTTGTTTCATCATGATGGTGTCCCGGAATAAACATTTCCCGGCTTACCAGATGGACGCCATCGCGCGCGGCAAGAGCGACGATGTCGGAGCAGCTGACAACGCCAGGACACTTGGCCTCGAGTGCCACCTTGATGCGATCGATAATTTCGAATCCGTGGAGCGACAAGTTAGGCTCTGCGTCCTTCTCCGCCTTGTTGCCCGGTGTGGAATTCAGTAGCACCGAGCCATCGCAACCCTGCGGCGCGTGGAAGAGGGACGAAAACCAGGCGAATTATCAGGAATGCGAAATTTTAGGCGAAGTCGGCTTGAATGAAGCGCAGCTTCTCTGGAAGCGAAAACATTGGCGAGCAACGTCGTACCTGAACGAAGCAGTCGTGGAAGTGGAGGCGAAGAAGTGGTGCGGGGGCGAATTGGTCTTTGCGATATTCGTCAGTGACAATTTCGCGAACGATTGTGTGGAGGTGAGGGCACGAGTCTCTGTAATACGACCTGCTCAACCGCTTCGCATCCCCACCGTGGGCAGGCAACAACTGACATGTGGCGGTGACGAGAAGCACCAGAAGCACCGACGACAAAGCACGACCCATTACCGTGACTGGCGTGTGTTCAAGGAGAAGCTACGAGGGATTGGCACGAAAACGACTGGTAATTTTTCAATGTCGCCCCGGTTTTGTACACATTGCGGCGCGGGAATCTGTGAAACACGCCCAGCTTGACGGCGCGGGTACAGTAATTGTAACAAGACCAGTAGGTTTGTGTGGATGGGTTTGTGCAAGGCCACGCTGGCGCGGCTCGGAAAATTTTGGGCATCTGTGAAAACGAGGGTCTGCTTTGGCAAAAGCCGAGGTTTTGAAGTTCTTCTCTTGAACCATGTTTGCCTGCGCGAAAGAGTTGGCTCACGAAACTCGGTTTTTCGCTCACAAAAATGACTCTTGTAGAAACAACTCGCGAGTGTCGGGTTTGTTTCGCATGTCAAATGTGGACCGTCGCTGATGAAGGATGTAAAGGCACACGTTGATTTTGCTTGCCCGCGGCTAGGCTGTAAGCTATCAAAATATTTCATTTCTTTCGACATCCGAATGCAGATGGAAATGGGCCATATGTACACCGCTTTGGCAAGCACCCTCCGACAACAAGCCCACCTGGAGGCAATATAATGTAAGGGCTAGTGTCCCTGAGCAACCTGGTGACATGCTGAAGCGTTGCCCCCGGCCAAACGAACATCATAGGAAAGAAACAGACGATGAAAAACCCTAGATTTGACGAATTTCTGGTTGTTTACGTGCTGTCAAGCAGAGATGTTCCTCACATTATTCGCTGCACAACAGCTAACTCAATTCCCGTGCATAGGGTTATTTCCATATTGTTTTGCATAAATAGGCTACTTTTCTTGGACGCGTACCGCGTGCGGGAAACCCTAAACACCTGCTTCGAAATCGGGACTGTCACATTCAATCCCACCTGCCTGCGCTCCGCTCCGCCCCAGCGTTTACAGCTGGAAATCACCCTTGTGCACGGGAAAATCATGCGAAACCATCACACAAACAAGTACTCACTTTCTTGGTTTTTTGTGTATGGGATGGCTCGATAAGTCCACCTTACTGGTGTTTGTGTGCTGCTCACAACACAATAAAAGTACTCACTTACCTGCCCGTCATAGCATGCTTCTGGTCACCATCTCATTGGCCAAAGGTTCATGGTTGTTGACAGTGCCAGACTGGTTGAGACCACGGAAGGTTTTATCGCGCGGGGTTTTCCCAGGCCAGAACTTGACTGCTCGACGCGCGGTAGGTCCGAGAATGTAAAATCGAGCCGAGAGCGGCCGCAATAGTTTGTGATTATTACAAGCCAACTGTAGATCGATCAGAAATCCAAATATAATCTTTTTTTCCTCAACGTGATGATATTCTGTTTGATAACACTGGATTCCATAGTATTACCACCATAGTAGAGATCCCGAACACACCCATGATAGAACAGTCATTCACACCATGTGTCTCGCCATAGTGTGTCTGAAAAAGAAAGGGAATGGAGAAAGAAAGGGAGAAGGAAAATGAAACTCCCAAAAAGAACCCAAATGCAACACACATAAAACCCCCCCTCGAGTTACCCAATCAAAACGCCCAATCAAGACACCCCATCAAGACATCCCATCCCACGCCCCATCCCCCCCCCCCCCCTCAATCACATCAACGTATCGACCATGTACGGGGCCTCCACCTAGAGAGCCCCGCCTTCCACATCGACATCGTCCCTCTCCCGATCCGCCAAATCTACGTTAATCCCCCCCATGGAAGACGCCGCTCGAAGCAGGATGACACGGGCTTGCGCACGTTGTAACGCCACCCCGATGAGCGCCTTCAGTGACCCTAAAAGATAAGCCGAAAACACAGAGTCGTCCTCTCGACAAGCCCCCCGCGACACAGCTAGCCCCACGTGCGCATCCCCCTACTGACGAAGCCACCGCTGAAAACGACCGCCGAGACACCCCCACGTCTCAACTATCAAAGGGGTGAACTGCACGCCCCGGTTGCGTGCAAGCAGAGGCGCGTAATCACTCGTTTTGCGACGCTCCCATTCCCTTGCCGCCACACCTATTTGACGCCCGCACTGTCCCAGCAGTGATGGAGACAGCGATAGCGGGTCCGCGACGCTGATCTCTAGGGCGTGAGCCTCTCCAGCCATTGGACGTCGCACCGCCACATCAACCCGCTTCCCTTGCAGCACCACACTATCCTCCAATGTCACCACCCCCCCCCCCCGACGCCTTAGAGATCTTCGCCACCGCAAACTTCACCTCATCATGCACCCGAGAAGGACCATGCTGGTGCCTGCATCTCAGGGCATGGTGCGGGTCTGCTGGGTCAACATACGCTGTGCCACAAACACACCTCACCTACCTGCAACTGCTGAATTGGGAGCCCGAGCCGTATAACAGCAGCAATGCCCCACTCAGCCGCAGTGAATGTGAGATCTGAGTGAGCCGGAACCGCCGAAACCCATGCACCTGCCCCCGGGTCCTGAAGAGATGTGAAACGGGCCAAGGTAGCATCGTCACGAGCCAAGCGGCGTAGTGCCTGGAGCTCCTCTACAGCTAACTGCCGCTGACGCGCCTGGAAAAGCCGAACAGGAGGGGCCGCTACACACAGAGGTAAGCCCGGTATCTCGTGGCGGATAGTCGCTGGTAGCTGCTCGAGAGCCTTGACAAACCACGGGTCAAGAAACTCTGCCCCTATCGAAGTGGTGAGATACTCAGCAAACATCGCCTCCTCACCCGCCACCCCTAACTGTGCAATGTCCCACGCGGCCTGCGCCCACCCGCAAACATAGGACAGTGGGCTCAAAGAGGCCGCCGCCCGGATCCTGCTCCCAAGTGCCAGGTGGGAAAAGCTGCTCAAAGCAATCCTCTAAACAGCTGTCCCAATCCCTAAAAGCCTCAACCACCTCCAGACGCGGCGGCATAGTCCGGGCGAGGTACATCGGCCGCGCTGAAACTGCAATGGCAAGGAGGTGTGAAGCCATCTGGGGGTGGTTGAGCAAGGGGAGCCATGGCAGTGGCGCCTGCAACTGTCGAAGCCGCTCCCGTAGCCGGACCACCTCCCAAACCTCCTCTCCAATAGGCACGTCCACCACAGTAAGACCCTCATCCACCCGTTGCATCCCCAATGGCAGTGACCGCTCCACCTCCTTGCCCTCGCGCTCCCAAAACTGGCACTTGTGCGCCTGCACCTCCAGCCCTACCCACTCCAACCACTCCCGCAGCACCCCAAAAGCCTCCAGAATCCTAGCCGCTGGCCCCAAAATATAGGTATTGTCTGCATAGCTGAGGAAAAGCAGGTCCTTGAACTCCCTAGTAACCGGCTCCATCACCTGCTGTTGCGTGAACGCGAAAAGAAAAGGGCCGAGCGGGTCCCCCTGCCTCGATCCCCGTGCTGACTCGAGGCTCTGTACGAAAGGGCCCGCTTGGAGGTACAGGTCGCTGGGTGTCCCATAAAAGACACGCAAGAATGGGATCATCCCTGAGAAAGGCGACTCCCGCAGCCCATCGAACATCACATGACGGTGAAACGAATTGAAGGCGTTTGCGACGTCTATCTGTAGCGCACACCAGTCGGGGTGAGTGGCCAGCGCTGACTGGAAAGAATGAGTGAGAATCTCCGCCCCGACCCTGGTGTCCGCTCCCAGCTGGTTGCACGGCAGAAAGTAGGAAACCATCGCAGGGCAGAGCGAGATGCAGAGAGCTCGAGCAAGGATACGAGGAAGCACCTCCCCGATCGCCACCGGTCGGACGTCGCCGTTAGGCTTGGAAAGCCCGACTAGGTTGGATGCGGCGAGCCACGGCCGAGCCCGCTCGGGGACCTGTCCGGCCACCCATTGGTTGAACACTTCCAACAGGTGGGAGAGGCAGTTAGGTTCAGTGAGGAAGGTGTCGCGCAGATGCTCTGTGACCCACCCCGATGGCCCTGCTGCTGAGGCTCGAGCGGCTGTATGGATAGCTCTGGCCAGGATGTTGGTCGTGAGTGAAGGCCGCTGAGCGGTATCGATGGTGAAATCGCGGACCCACTGTGGTACCTCGCCTGCGCTAGCCGGGTGCTTCTCTCGCAGCGACTGCACCATGACCTCAGACGGTCGAGCCAACTCCCCTGCTGTAAGGCAGGCCAATCCTCGGCTCCACTCCCCCACTTTGCACCGAGATCGGCACCGTGACAGGCGGATGGCATCCGGGTCATGGTCAGAGCGAGTGTAGGAAAGTGGGCGAACTGCTGGCCGCGCTGCCGCCATGGCAGAGTCGAACAGCTCCCGCCACCTCCCCTCCCAGAACGCACCCAACCGCTCTGTGATCAGCGCCTTCTGACCTATGCCTGGCTTGGGAGGCATGGCTAGGATGAGGCGCGGAAACGCCAAGAGTAGGAGGGTAGCGGCTTCATCTCCCGGCTGGCTCTTCAAGCGCTTAAGGATGCAACAGAGCGCGTCTAAGACCCCCGACCTGGCCCGCTGTGGGATCCGGCGAACTGTCCTCCCTCCAACCGCCTCCACACTGAAAAATGTTTCCCATTCCCATGGCGTAACCCCAGCCCACGCCTCGTCCCCAAATTCCTGCGGCGTCGATCGCTCCTGCGTGTCGGTCTCCACCAAAGACGGAATCGAGCCGAGAGCCTGTGCACGCCTCTCCGCCTCAGCCGCTCGGCATACCCTCATGTGGTTCGCAGCGGCCCCCCGCGTAGCGAAAGTGTGGAAACACGTGTCGCACGGGAAGCGGGGGCATGGGGAAGGCGGCATGGGAGGTTCTTCGTCCGCCTCTGACTCCTCCGCAGTCGCCATGGGGGTATCAAGCTCCAGAAGTCGACACCACTCCTCCAATTGTTGCTCCTGGTCGTCCATCGATCTCCCCCCTGCTTGCTGCGCTCCTTGGGGTGCCCAGGGCACCCTCGGCTGCCCCCCTGGCTGCTGCGCTCCCTGGGGTGCCCCGGTCACCCCCGGCTGCCCCCCTGCCTGCTGCTCTCCCTGGGGTGCTCTGGGCACCCTCGACTGCCCTCCTGCCTGCTGCACTCCCTGCCCTCCTGCCTGCTGCACTCCCTGGGGTTCCCCAGGCATCATCGGCTGCCCTCCTGCCAGCTTCACTCCCTGGGGTGCTCCGGTCACCCCCGGCTGCTCCCCTGCCTGCTGCTCGCCATGGGGTGCTCGGGTCACCCCCGGCTGCCCCCCTAGCTGCTGCTCCCCCTGGGGTGCTCCGGTCACCCCCGGCTGCCCCCCAGCCTGCTGCTCTCCCTAGATCGATCAGAAATCCAAAGATAATTCGTTATTGTAACCTTGTGTGTGTGTGTAGATAGATGCGGGAAAAATCACAAGATATTGACACAAAATAACTAGGATTTCCAGTACAGGCCCGACAAATTGACACCTTTATTCTGTAGTTGAATTTGTCCTTCCCCGTCACATAAAAAATAATGAAATTCCTCGTGTCACTTTGTTGGTTTACAATGCCACTGGTTATTATCACATATTGTATGCATTGGGTCTATTATTGCAGACGGCCTTCATATTTGTAAGAATATACCGTATTCTATGATCTATGGTATCATAATGCCTCAAATGCTGCGATCAGAAATTGATCGTCCCTAGGATCACCTCAGGAAGGTTCTAACACGATTGAGTGGTAGTGGTGGGCCCTTGACCTCATTAGCAAAGGGGATCTAAAATGCTTGAGATGATAGAAACATGGGGTACATTCCCTTATTACTGCGAATTTCAACCGTGCGACTCCAAATGGTTACAAACTGTCTGGCAGAATCCTTGCCACTACTGCTGCCCGATGCTGTTTGCACGACAGTCCGAATTATTTCGTAACCGTGAGTCCCTTCGCATTACTTCTGTCCATTCATCTTCGGCCTCGGTAGTGTGTGCTTCGATTGCTGCGGTAAGGAGTGCACAGTGATCCTTTCATCTTTTGCTATTCGTGACACCCCCTTCACTCCTAGCCGTAGCAGGTCTTGACCCGCTTGACTTCTCCGCTGAGTCAGGAGTTGTGCTGGTACTGTTGACGTGGCAGCTTCTTCGTGAGAAAGTCAGCTGCCATGTTGCCCGTCGGAAAGTAGGTTAGGTCAACCTTGCCCGTGTCAACTTCGTCCTTGACGAAGAAGTACCGCAGCGCGATGTGTTTGGTGCGGTTGACGAATCCACGCATGTCCGCGATCCTGATCGCGCTCTGGTTGTCACAGTGCTGGCGGAAATTCGGCGAGGCTGGGATTTTCGCTGCCTGCAGCAACTCCTGAAGATAGAGGCCTTCGCGAACAGCTGCTGTTGTTGCGATGAACTCGGTCTCCGACGATGACAGGGCAGCCAGCTCCTACTTTTGTGAATTCTAGGAGATGGGGCCGCTGGGTTCGAGGCAAAAGAGGAAGCCTGTCCAGGACCGTCGATTATCGGGGTCAGCAGCGTCATCGGCATCTACGTAGCCGATGAGGTTGAAGGACACAGTTGGGATGGTGGAGTAGCAGAGCCCAACGTTGGGTGTGGAGATGAAGAACTGTAGTGCTTGCTAAAGATCTAGAAGATTTTCAGCCGTTGGTTTGCGGAAGTACTGAGCCATCTGGCTCGCGACGTACGAGAGATCGGGCCTGCAGGTAACTGAGGCAAAGAGTAGGCATCCCAGCTTCTGCTGGTAAGTCTGAAGCCCAGCGGGGGACAGGGCTTTGTTGTCAGACTTGTGGTTAGGTCCTGGAGTGCGGTAAGGGGTGGAGAGTGGTGCAGGTGCAATGTTGAAGTGCTTGCCAAGTTCCTCTGCATACTTGGCTGCTGAGCGATGAATGGCTTCTGGCGAGTAGGAGATGTTGAGGCCGAGGAACTACTTCACGTCGTGGTTGCATGTGATATCAACGTGCCCTGCAAAGTTCTTCTCGCAACAGCTCAAGCAGTTCATTTTTTACTCTGTGTAGAGAAGGTCGTCGACGTAGACTGTGAGTAGGATGTATTCGCCGCGAAAATCACGGCGATACATCCCTGGATCATGAGGTAGCTGCTTGAACCCAATTTCAAGCAGGATGTTGTGCAGGTACTGCTGCCAGAGCCTTATTTGATCCCGTAAATGGATTTCCGCAGCTAGCAGACGCGTGAATCCCCTTCTCCATATGTGTGCGGCTGCTGCACATAGATCACCGTGTCCACTAATGCGTACAGGAATGCATTCTTCACATCGATTTGTCAGAGCAGTATGTATTGTGCGGCAACGATGGCGAGGAGGATTCTGATAGAGGTGCGACGTCTAACCGGTGCAAAGGTTTGGTCGAAGTTGATACTGTGCCTCTGGTCATACCCGCGTACGACTCGACGTGCCTTGAATCGTTCAGTCGTGCCGTCAGCTGCGGTCTTCATGCGGAAGACCCATTTGCCGGAGAGAATTGTTCTCCTCTTAATTCTGGCTTGATCGACGAGCACCCAGGTATCGCAAGAATCAAGGGCCTTGATTTCCACATCCATTGCCTCACGCCATTCCTTGCTGTGTGGTCCCGTAAGAGCTTGGCGCGGATTCTTCGGCTCGATGACACGTGGCGCCATTGAGGTGGCGGTGTGGAGTCCAAGAAGCTGTAGTCCAGACACAGTGCTGTCGTGGCGGTGCTGCGAGGTGACCTCCTGCATGTCATCGTCGTCGCTTTCTGGTTCGGGTGGTACTGGCGGTGCTGCGCCTCTGCCGCTTCCGCCTGCTGCGCCTGCTCCTCCTCCGAAGGAATCGTCATCGTCATTGCTGCTGCGGCGATCGCCTCTTGTGAATTCGCCTCTGGTGTCCTGTTCCTAAATGGCTGCTGCAGCTTTGTCCTCAGGTGTGGCGTAGCTGTGCCCGTCGTTGGCATAAACGCGGTTCGCGTTCACCTGCTCATCTTCGCGAAACTGTTGGAGGAAGAGCCGCTCGTAGAAAATGACGTCTCGCACGTTTGTAGTTTTCTGGCTCATAAGATCTGGCTCACATGCCCACCACTTGTCTCGTGCGTCAGAGGAAAACTGGCACGGCACACCTTCCCCGACAAGAGCTCGTACGCCGAGGAGGCACTGGCTGTCGTGCACATTGAATTGTGCGAGCCATTTCGGGTGGCTGCCAAGGATGGCAGCTTTGCTCCAATCGGGGAGGGGAGTTCCTCGGAAAGGATTTTACCAGCTTTGTCAATGGGAAGGGCATCGTCCACGACCTGACGTGACCCTACACTCCGGAGCAAAATGGCATGGCTGAGTGGGAGATGCACATGGTTGTCGAGTCCGTGCGGATGATGCTGCTGCAGATGGGCGTGCAGCATCACTGGTGGCTCCTCGCTCTTCGACAGGCTGTCTGGGTGTGTAACTACTTGGAGCGTTCGACGACGCCTTACCAGCTGCTGACCAGAGAGAAGCCCGACCTCACGCTGGCGCGGCTGTGGGGCTGCATGGTGCAGTTCATAATTTCCGAGCAGCAGTGCGGTGGGAAGCTGGCGCCGAAGGCTCGCTAGGGGCTTCACTTGGGTGTGTCGCAGAAGAGCAAGGGCTCGGAGGTGCTCGACGTGACCGACAACAAGGTGGTCACGTCGGTCGAGGTGATCTTCTATGAGACGCTGACGCTGGAGGTGTGGAAGGCTAAGTATGGGCCGGCGTCGGGGCAGATGCAGGCATACCCACCGACGGACACCTCGGCGGCGACAGTCCCACTGCTCGCCAAAGTCAACGAGGCTACTGATGAGGACGTTGTGGAGGTTCTTCCACGTCCCCCTGCTCTTGCTCCTCCCTCCCCCGTCGCAAATCAACCTGCGTCGGCCACTGGCGATGAGGGGAGCCTTGAGGCATCGCCTGTGGCGCCGGCTAGTGGCATCGCCGGCAGTCGACAAGGCGTCAAGCTCGTTGACCAGGTTCAGAAGCCGTCGACAACAGAGGAGCACCAGACAGGGGAGCCGGTCGAACAGGAGGCAGCAACAGGGGTGCAATCGACAGGGGAGCAGCAGCCGGGGCGGTCGACGGGGGAGCTGTCGAAGTCAGCAGCAGGCGAGCAGCCGGTCGAAGGGTCGAAGCAGCAGGTCGACGACGAGGAAGTCGACGAGGAAGGGGAGCGGTCGGCGGATGAGGAGTCCACTGACAGCGACGTGGTGGAAGTGCCGAGCACGAAGCCTGAGCTGCGACGCACAGGTCGAGCTCGACGGACGCCGGAGCGGCTGAGCTTCCACGCCTGCCTACCGCCAGCTGCCTTCACCACGGTGTATGACGAGGTCAACGACGACTTGTTGTACGACGACGCCAAGGAGGATGAAGACCTGCCGGAGCTCGACCCCGACGTACATGCCGACCCTGAACACCGCTGGGACATCGCCACGATGACGGTGAAGGAGGCGCTGTCGAGCTGGAAGGGTGAGGCGGTGAGGGCCGCCATGGAAGAAGAGATCCATAGCCTTATCGGTATAGGCACTTGGGAGCTGGTGGAATGCCCACGCGGGGTGAACATCATGAAGAACCGGTGGGTGCTGACAACCAAGTACCGCATCGACGACACTGTTGAGTGCGATAAGGCGAGGCTGGTCGTGAAGGGCTTCACACAGGTGTACGGTGCCGACTACGACGAGATGTACTCGCCGGTGAGAAGCTACGTCGCTCTGAGGTACTTCTTCAGCATCGTCGCCATCCTCGACCTTAACCTAATGCAGCTCGACATGAAGAAAGATTTCCTGCAGGAGCAAGCTCGACATGGTGCTCTATATGTACCAGCCGGACTACTTTGACGATGGGACCAGCCAGGTGTGTAAGCTGCTGAAGAGCCTCTACGGGCTGAAGCAGTCACCGCTGCTGTGGTACAGGGCTCTTGACGGTGTGCTGCTGGCCGCTGGCTGGAAGAAGAGACAGGTGGACGAGGTGCTCTACTTCAAGGCCGGCGACGACGGAGTGACATGCTGGGTCCTGATCTACGTCAACGACTTGCTCGCGGCCAGCAGCAGCACCGCGATGCTGAAGGAACTAAAGGAGCTGCTGGAGGCCGTCTTCAAGCTGCATGAGATCTCGCCGGTGGTGAATTACCTTGGGCTGGAGGTCGTGCGCGACAGGCCGGCCAGGAAGCTGTGGCTGCACCAGCAGGGCTACGCCGGCAAGTTGCG